TTCCCATCTCCTGTCAATCAGAGATTCAGATTGCTACTGCCCTTTGGGACTTCCCAACCTTTGCCTACCATTCCATTGTGTAGACAGCACCCTCTTAAGGGCCAGTGTTAGGGGGATTGGGCCTTATCTTCACAGCACCCCCAAGTTCCTCCCCGGGAAGGGCTTGGACACATCCTCAGGTTAGTCAGGGTCCTTGTCTGTCTCTTTCCCCTCTTTGCAGTGTCTCTAAGACTTTCCTGATTTTGCCTGTCACTATACCTGCCTTCACCGTCCCTCCCCCCACACATACCCTTCGCTTTCTCCTACCAACCCTCTCCCCCCATTTCTCACCCTTTCTTTCTGGTTTTCTCACTGTCTGGATTCATCTCTGGACCTCTCTGCCCAGGCTGGCTGTCCTTCCATTTCCTGTCATTCTGAGTCCTCTTTCCCTCATTCCTCCATCTCTAGCTGGCTCTCTTGGTCCCTTTCCCTCTCTTTTCTCTCTTCCTTCCTTTTCCCTTCTTTCTTCCTCTGTTGCTCCCTTTCTTCCTCTCTTCCCTTTCCTCTGTCATTCTGTCTTTGTCCTTCCCTGTCATGGTTACTTCATCTCTTTGTGTCTCTGCTTCTCCCCATCAGTCCCTCTTCTGCTGCTTCCCCCGTCTCTCTTTCTCTCTCTGTGTCTCTGGCTTCTGCTCTGATGGTCCTTCCGCCGGTCTCTATTTTTATCCCTCTGACACACCCCCTGTGTCCACTTCTCTGTCTGTCTCTCCCCCTCCCAATTCTCTTCAGGTCCCAGCTCCTGGTCCCAATTAGTGGGTGGCCGCTAAGGCAGCGGCGGGGCCCCCACCCCCGGCTCCTCATTATCGCTGGCGGCTCCTAATGAGCTGGTGTGTGGGGGTGACCTGGCGCCCCCAGCCCCCTGGTCTGCGTCACTGCCCGCTGCGGGGGTTGTGGAGGCGATATAAGGGGGCTGCCAGCCTCACTGCCGGAACCCACTGCGCGGTAGGGGGCCCCGCAAACGGGCTGCAGGGGGTGGGTGGATGGTGGGGTCGTGGTTCTGGGCCAGGACGCGGGCCTCACTGAGCTCTTTCCTGTCTCTCCACAGGTGATGGAGACCCGCCAGGTACCCAGGAGCCCCCGAGCACGGCTGCTGCTGCTGCTGCTACTTGTGTCCTGGGGCCACCGCACTGCCTCAGGAGCCGCCCTGCCTCCCGCGGGGGTCTTCAGGTACGTAGGACATCCAGGTCTCCCAGGAAGGGTGCAGACTCAGAGAGGTGGGGAGAGACCCAAAGAGAATGGGGAACAGAGACTCAGAAAGGGGGAACAGAGACCCAGAGAGAGGACAGAGATGGGGGGTGGACAGGGAATCAGCAAGACAAAGAGATACACAAGGATTCTGAGAAAGGCTTTGAGAGACTTGAAAGGAGCCGAAGCAGGAACGGGTTTGTTCCTTGAGCAACGTTTATTGGGTCTTGGTGTGTGCCAGGCATGCGCAGGGCGCTGGGGCCGGACAGGTGCATCAGACTCGGTCTCTGTACTCAGGAGGCTCCGAACGTGGTGAACACAGAGACGGAGACCCACACAGAGAAACAGAGAGACAGGGGACAGAGACTGAGCCACTCCACAGACGGTGCAGTAACAGGGCTTCGAATTAGACCGCGGGGAGGACAGATGGCGGGCGGCGGGCCCGGACACATGGAAACCGCCTCTTTCCATCTCCCGGCAGACTCCACACTCCCAGCCGGGCTTGGGCGGTTCCGGCCACCCCCCAGTCGCGTCGGAGCCTGGCGCTGGCGGACGATGCGGCCTTCCGGGAGCGCGCGCGGCTGCTGGCCGCCCTAGAGCGCCGCCACTGGCTGAACTCCTACATGCACAAGCTGCTGGTGCTGGACGCGCCCTGAACGTCCCGTCCGCCCCACCTTAATAAAGACCCTGCTGTGCGTCGGGACTGCGCCTCCTTCCTGCGCCTCTGTGTGTGTGTGTGTGTGTGTGTGTGTGTGTGTGTAGCGGGAGGGTGTGTGTGTGTGTGTGCACGGGGGCGTCTACCTCCAGTTCCCTCTCTCATCTCTCCCTCTACTCATCCTGTCTCTCTCTGCACTACCGCCCCAGCTCTGTCCTTTCGTCTCACTCTGTGCCTTTGTCCCTCTCCACTCGCATATCTGCTCCCACCCCATCCCCGATTCTGTCCCCTTCTCCTCTTGTTCTTTGTAACCTCCCAGGTCTCTGTCCCCCTCCGAGTCACTGCCCCTTTCTCTGGGTCTCTGTTGCTCTCTGGGTATCTGTCCTTCTCTGAGTCTCTATACTTCTTTTTCACCCTCATGGCTTCCCGGCCTTCTGGGGAATCTCTGTCTCCTCTCTCGACTCTTCTTTCTGCCTAAAACTCTTCCTTCCATTCTTAATCACTTTCTTTTTTCTCTGCCTGACTCCTTCGTGTCTTTTTTTTTTCTTTCTTTCTTTCTTCTTTTAGGTCTTCCTCTCTCTCCCGGCTCTCATTTTCTCTGAATTTCTCTTTTTCCGCTCTCGCATCACTTCCCGACTTCTCTTTGGGCGCAGTGGAAAGTTGGGGGGGCGGCGATGGGGGGACCCTGGAGATGCATCTGCCATTCAAAACCGGGTTCCCCTAAACCTACTTGTGTGGTATTGGGAACGGCTTCTAACCTTCCAGCCTCCTTTCCCTCATTATTTTGAGGATTAAACCAGATACACCATTAGAAGACTTAAGTACGCCCTTCTGGAAGCAAAACACATTATTAGAAAAGGGTTTCCAGGAATTCCCTGGTGATGCAGTGGTTAGGACTCGGCGCTTTCACTGCTGGGGCGAGTTCAATCCCTGGTCAGGGAACTAAGATCCCGAAAGCCACGGGGCCGCAGCCCCCCAAAATAAAATAATAGAGAAGGGTTTCTGCCTCTCTTGCAGCAGCCTGCAGCAGTTTCTTCAGGGTTTTCTAACTGCGCGCCTCCCGGGAGACCGTTGGGGCCCCTGGTCGGGGCTGGAGGAGAGGAGAAAGGAGAAAGGCATTAGCCTCCTGGAGGCACGGGACGGAGGCGGGGAAACACCTGGCCCACCGGTGAAGGAAGTAAGGAAGCAGCCAATCAGAATCTCTCTCTCTCTCTCTCTCTCTCTCTCTCTCCCTGCTCGGCCAGCCCTTCCGCCCCGCCCCTGAGTGGTGACCATGGCAACTCACTCCCTTAACTGGACTGCGAGGGTTCGGAACCTAGCTCCCGTGGCGCAGCTCGCACGGACTGCGCTCTGATTGGCCTAGAGAGGAGAGTGGAGCAGGGCGAGTCGACGTGAGGAAAGGGGGCGGGGCTGGCGCTTGGTGATTGGCAAGCTCTCCCGTAATTTGCATTTCCGAGAGGCGGACCGCGCCCTAATTGGCCGTTAGGCTGTGGGGTGTGGCCTGTTTCCCTGTTATTCAGAAATACTGAACAATGAATAACTGTATTTATTCCTTACAACTATCTGGAGTTGGCCAAATTTTACAAAGAAACATGGCTCTGAAAGTTGTCAGCGCTAGTGAAGGATAATTGGAACCCAAATCTGTGCAACTTCAGAAGTCTAGACCATTCCACTACTCTCATGGAGAAATAGAATTAAAATGTTATGAGCAGTTACTATATGCTGGGCACTCTTCCACATACCATTGTATTGGCTCTTTCAGCCTCACAACCCTGTGAGAAGCCTCATCCTCTGTTTGCTGAAGGGCCTGGTAACTCCGTCTTGGCCTGTGCTTTTCCTGTACTTCCTCCCCACGTCTTTTTTTTTTTTTTTATTAATTAGGCTGCGCAGGGTCTTATTTGCGAGAATCTTCGTTGCAGCATGCGGGATCTAGTTTCCTGACCAGGGATCGAAACTGGTTCCCCTGCGTTGGGAGCGGGGAGTCTTAACCACGGGACCACCAGGGAAGTCCATCCTCCCAGATCGCTTGTCTAGCATTTGAGGCTTTTCACAAAATGGTGCCCCAAACCCCTTCCCTTCTCACTCTACTCCCTTCTCCTCAGGAAATTTCAGCAATCCCCACATTTCAATCACCATCACAGCTAATAACATCCAGCCCCCCATTTCTAGACTGAAAGCTCAGTGCTCAGGGCTCCAGCCACTTCTTGGAACCCAGACACTCACTCCTCCTCACATGAGCTCAGAGTGTCCCCCACAAGCCCACCCCTTCTCATGGGTTCCCTATGTTGGGAATGGCTCCACTGTCTACCAGTCACTGGGTCAGATGCAGGTGCAGTCCTTGCCCCTTCCCTCTTCACCCTCCTTCATAGCCTGTCAGTCCTGGCTCTGTCCTTCCTGCTCTGCCTCTTTCTGCCCTGCCCTTTTTTCCATCCATGCACCCAGCCCAGCTCAGGCCTCATGCTCTCTCACCTGGACCATGGCCCCAGACTTCTCCCCACCTCCTGCCTCCAGCCTCACTCCATTATTATTCATCCTCTGTACAGGCTCAGAAGGTCTCTTTCCCACCCAGAGTTGATTCTGCCCCTTCCCTGATCACAGCACTTTCTTGGGCACTTGGCAGTAGAGTTCAAGCTGGTGTTCAAAACCCTTAATGGGCTCTTGTCTGCCTATCTTTTTTCTCACAACTCTAAAGCCTCAAATCCTTCCCTGGCTTTTTTTTTTTTTTTTTTTAAATCCAAGCAACATGGTGCTGCCTATGGCTTTCTACACACAGAGGTGCTTTCCAACCACCTGGTCTTCACACACTTTTTTCCCTCTGCCTGGGACACCCTCCCCCGCCTCTGTTTACTATAACCAACCTTACCCATCTTCCAAGACTAAATGCAGATGTCATCTATTTGGGAAGAAATCTCTAACCTCCCAGGCTGGGTTAGGTGCTTTTCCTGAGCTCTCACAGAGCCTGTAGCTACCTCTATCACTGTCCTGCCTGGCTCAAAGCTCTCCCAAGGAAGCCTCTACAGTGCTGAAACTGTTCTATATCTTGACCTGGGTTTTGGTTTCATGGATGTTTACATGTGCAGTAATTTATCCAGCTGATACTTGATTTGTCCATTTATAATTGTATGTAAGTTATACCTCAATTACAAAGTAAATAACCAAAAACAAGTAATTAAATGTCCCCCAAACTCCCATCATCCTCAGGAGAAAAATCAATGCTCCTCAGCCTGGCATTGGAGGGTCTATTTTTCTGTCTTCTAAGGTCTAGCCATGGCAAATAGATGATCACTAAGTGTTTGCTGAATGAACAAATGGCACACCCTTTCCTGCTGGCCATTGGTGACATCTATGTGTGTGGCTGGCCCACATCTTGTTCTCCCTCTTTCTGCCAAGAGAGATGCCTTGCTCTCCGAGTTGCCCTTGCAGCTAGGGGTGGTCATGCCAAACAGTTCTGGCTGACGAGACAGAGTCTGCTGTTGGCTCTGGGAAGGCTATTGCTTTTCTTTATAAAAAGGAAGAGATGTGTCCCCTTCTCCCTGCAGATATGACGTATGAAGCTACAACACCTGCCACCTCCTGAGCACAGGGGAAGGGCCAAGAGAGTCACAGAGAATCACAGCATGCTGGTCCCGGTGCTATGGAGACTGAGCTGTGGGTCCACAACTGCCCTCCTCCAGACTTGTTTTGTGAGGGAAATATAACCCCTAGTGCTTAATCCATTATTGGTTGTGTTTTGCTATTGTTAAGAAATGTAGCTGTCAACGTTAAAAAAACAAGAGACTTCACATAAAAACCCAATACAGGGCTGTGGACACTGGAGCACTGTATCTAGGGTCCCGGCAGTGGGATAATCCCAAATCACAGTTGCACACCCACGGGATTAACAGTAAAAAGAGCCCCAGTTAAATCACTGAACTAGACGCCGCTCTGAGGCGGCGGGATGCGTGCCTCATACTGGAGGCGGCTGGAGGTAGCAGAGCTGGAGGTGGGGCCAGGTGGGGGGCGGGGACTGGCCCAGCAGCCGGACCGAGAGCAGCAGCAGCAGTAGCAGCAGCAGCAGCAGGCCCAGGACTGGTGCCAGGATCAGCGGGTGCCGAGTGACTCTGTGGGGAGGCAGCACAGTGCTTGGGGGACCCAGGGGAGCCCATGGTATCCCGGCAGTGCCCTGTCTGACCATCACCCTCCTTCTGGAGACGCCTTGGGGTGCACCTGAGCTGCTGGGGGTGCAGGGGGCGCAGGCAGAGGTGGCCCCAGACTGGCCTCCTGACTGGGACCAGCTCCTTCACCACCGGCACCAGGGCTTGCTGCAGCTCCGGCTCTGAGGGCCTGCTGGGGGGAAAGGAAGGCAGGGCGATGGTGCTGGACTTTTTCTCTGCCCCCAAGTCCGCCCCCAGGCCCTTGGGTCCCTCTACCTCTCAGGAGGGCTTCCTGGGATGTCTCCAGGGTGTGAGTCTCCCAGAGGGATGGGGAGATCCACCTGGAAGGGCAAAGGAGACAAACTTGAGACACCGGGTCCTGTATTGGGAGCGGTGCTAGGTTCAGCCTGCTGGACCGAAGCGACCACATGGAAGCGGGTGGGACACAGTAGTTCAGTGCGTGAGCGTCCCAGAGACACACTGCTGCGTTGAGCTCCCAGCTCTGCCAGTTTCCTGCTATGTGTCCCTTGGCACGTCCCCCCATCTCTCCAGGCCCCACTTTCTCCATGTGCTGGATGGAGATGATGACGGCACCCACCTCACAGGGCTGAAGTGGAGAATGAATGAGTGAATGTGGGCAAAAACCAAAAAATCAGGAGGCGGGCTCAGAACAGTGCCGGGCAGACAGTGAGCGTGCAATAACTGCGTGAGCTACTCAACATTATTATTTCCATCTTCCATCTGATTCTGGAAGTATACAGGCTCCCTGAGGGCAGAGATCCCATATTCTTGAGGAGCCCAGCCCTGGGCTGGGCCTAGTCTACCGTGGATACTGGTTTTTTTTTTTTTGCAGTATGTGGGCCTCTCACTGTTGTGGTCTCTCCCGTTGCGGAGCACAGGCTCCGGACGCGCAGGCTCAGCGGCCATGGCTCACGGGCCCAGCCGCTCCGCGGCATGTGGGATCTTCCCGGACCGGGGCACGAACCCGTGTCCCCTGCATCGGCAGGCGGACCCTCAACCACTGCACCACCAGGGAAGCCCCCATGTATACTCTTTGGGTCCATCTTCCTGCCCTGTGCCAGGCCCAGCAGGCGCTTTAAGATTAAAGCCCCAAATACTCCTGACTCACTTTCCCACCTCATCCCCCCTGTCTTTCTGAAAGGGCATCCCCTCTGCAGATCTCAGGCTTTCCCACCCATGCCTTTGCTCTGTGGATGATGATATGGTAATAACAATAAAATAATAAATAAAGAGTTCCAGGAACACCAACCCCAGCCACTATCTTCACCACTGTCGCCTCCTGTGTGTCTGCTCTGTGCCAGGCACTTTACTACCTGATCCTTAACACTTATCCTCACCCTGAGAGCTGGGTAAAGATTGCTGTCACACTAGCTGCGGGGAAACTGAGGTGAGGCCCCAGTCTCCATGGAAGGGAGCGTGGTGTGGTGGGAAAGAAGTGGGCTTGGGGTCAGGCTGCTCAGAGAGACCATGTTGGACGGTGTGAACCCTGAAGGGTCCCAGGTGCCTGGAACGGAGGCTGGCACACCTTCGGGGCTCACGGTTCTTATCTGAGGACTGCAGGCTTCTGACCTCGCCAAATTTCCTTCCCTCTCTTCCCTTGCCTAAGAATCAGGATTGTCACCTGCCACTTTGAGAAGCAAAGGAGCTGGTGTGGGTGGTACCGGGCAGGGCAGCTGTGACAGGTGCGGTGCCCCAAAGGAGTTCTGGGGCTGGCCGGGGAGGGCCCGGCCCTTCCTGAGTGTGGGCGCTTGTGCCTGTGCATTTTTGCAACCCGGGGGTGTAGCCACGTCTGTGGTGTAGCGGCTGCAGCCCTGTATGTGTGCTTGGGGGGTCCCCTGGGAACATTCTGGCCGCCCACTGGCCTGCAGCCTCCCTCCACAGCACCGTCTCCTCTCATTAGCTGCAGCGAGGGCATCGTTATCTCTTGGCCAAACTATTTTTCTGTCTGCTTGGGGGTGTGGGCAGGGGCTGGGGAGGAGCTGTGACTACAGCAGCCTCATCTGAGGGCCTGCAGTGGATGGTGCTGGGGACTGCGTACCATGACCGGGATCTCTGCTTCCTCTTCTTCTCTCCTGGGTAACCTGGGGTGACAAGAAAGTCGCTGCAAGCATCTGTCTCCCCTGCCTGGTTCCCATTCGCCCGCTGTGTGGCAGAACCTTTAAAGGAGGGCTCTTAACATGGATGGGCACCGTGGAGAGACCTGGAGAATATCCTGGAGTTTGCCAACAAGCAAACTGTTGCGAGTAGGTCTCAGCATCTGTATTTTTTCAAGGGAATTTTCACCAAATTCTCCAGAGTATGTGACTCCTACAGGATCAGGGGCCTCTCCACCTCATTGGCTTTCTCAGCTGCTACTTTCCCAGCTGATCCCCCAGTTGATCAGAGGCTTCTGGTTCTCTCACACCCAAAACACCAGAGACTCAGATCTCTCCAGGACCCCACCCCCTGGCCCAGCTTCCTGCCTGGTGGGTTGGGCCATTTTCAGTCAGTCTCGGTCTTACTGGGTCTTGAGAACTGGGACTCCAGCTCAGACTTCCTTGACTCCAGAACCCAACTGTGTGGGCCCTGCCCCCATCCCAAATCATTTCTCTTAAGTGTGCAAGCTCCAGCCTCTGCGCCCCCTATGGTCACAGCTGTCTGAGCCCCTGAAATGCCTCTCTGGGCACTCAGGCCTCAAGTTGGCCAGCCCTGACGTCCCTTGGAGGCCCAGAGGTCCACAACACCTGCCAACCACCTTCGCTGGGGATCAGGGATCCAGCCTTCCAGCCTTAACTACCAGCTTCAGGCCCAACACCCTCAGGATACAGCTGTTTCCTCAACTCCCATCCAATCCAGGCTCGTGGGCCCCAGCCTCTGCCCCAGTCAGACACACAGCTGTCTGGTCCTCTAGGACTTCTATTCGGGGACCCTCAGCCCCTCTCTCAAGGTCCAAGCTCTCGCCCCTGGTCACGTCTAGGGGTCACAGGATTCACCACTTCCCTCACTCCCAGCTTCCCAATCTGCCCCTGCCACCGCACCCTGCTCGGATGTCCAGCCCCTACGCCAGCCCTTGTCTACGCCGCTGCTCAGCCCCCTCTTCCATTCCCTGGTGACGCAGGGGGAGGTCACAGCTCCAGGGCCCCCATCCTGCCCAATCTCAGCTTTCCCAGACAAGTCCAATTAGAGGCTGCGGCAGGCAGCCTCATTAGTTGCCGCAGCCGGGAGCCTGCAAGAAGGGAGGGGGGACAGAGAGGCACCGCAGGAAGGCAGAGGCCCCATGGAGGAGGGTGGGCCCAGACATCTAGTGCTTTCTCTATACTCCGAGGCTGCACATGAGCCTCGTAAGAGTCAGTAACAATCACAGGGCAGGGGCTCACTCCACCCCATCACAAAGTAACCGAGCTGGGATCTGAACCCAGGCTGTCTGATTCCAGAGCCCCTGATGACCTCCCAACTGTCTGGCTGCTCTCCTGAGGCACAGTCTTGGTCTCATTCATCCCACGGTCCCACAGTTCCCTGGAGGCCTTGGGAGAGGTGTGTTCAGTGACAGTGACTTAGTGACTGAGCTGTCCCATCTGCCTGACAACTGTCTTCTTGTCTAAGGGCCTCCTATACGAATACCACTCCTAAAGGACCCCAAGCAGGGCCTCCTCCAAAAGTATTTCCCCCCAGGTGGGGTTGGGTGCTGGATATCCTTCTGGAACCATCAGGGTCTGAGGGCAGGGCTGGGTCTCACTCATCCTGGTCTGCAGGCCCAGGGTGGCCTCAGCATGAATGAACGAGGGAATGAGTGATGCACTCCCTCAGGGCTTTTCCAGGCCTTGCGCTCTAGCCATCTGAGAGTTGGCGTCAGCTAGAGGCAGAGGGATGGCTCAGGGAGGACCAATCTTCTTACCACATTGATCGCTCCTTCCTTCCTTCATGAGGGTATGCAGGCTCTCCCTGGGAGTTTCTCTGTGGGAAAGAAAAGCTTAGGTCTCCCAGGCTGCAACACCTGCCAAGAATTCACCACCTGCTTCTAAGACCTGCCCTCCTCTTGGGCCCCCTCCATTTTCTCTGGAGACATCCATCCTTGCCTGTGGTCTCAACCACCAACTCGACACTTTTCTAAATACATCCCTGAGCTCCAGCCTTGTGCACCCACCGCCCCTGAGAAGCACCCCCCTATCCCTCAGGGTGCTTACCTCAGAGGGTTGCAAGCTAAGTTCAGCATCTTTCTGTCTACTCCCTTCCCGGAATCCAGTGCCCTCAACCCCGCTGTCAGCAGGTCGGCAGCTCTGTCTCCCTGCCCCAGTTCTCTCTGCCTGTCCCTTTTTCTCTATCCTAAGGCCCTGGTCTGGCTCAACCTTCACCCTCTACCTCTGGATCACTTTCCCAGCCTCCTCCCTGGCCTCCCAGGCTCTCAGCCTCCAGTCAGTCCCCATGTGGCCCCAGAGGGGTCTTTCTACATCCAGAGGTGACCTGCCCCTCCCTACCCTCAGCCTTCCTGTGGCTTGATGGAGAAAAGCACAACCTCTCAGCTTCATTGACAGGGAATTCCTTTCATTATCCAGCCAGACCTCATCTCTCATTAGTCACCCCCACTGCCCTCTGCTCCACAAACATGTTATGTGGTTTCACGCTCTCACATCCTTGCATTTACTGTTCCCACTGCCTGGAAGACCTCTATCACACCACTTAACTTCTCTCTTTCTTTCTTCAAAATAAACTCGTGTCAGTTTCCCTGTGATATCTCCTTCAGTCGCCTGCCCAACATGGAAACTCTCTTCTCGAGGCTCCCACAGGGCCCGCCGCCCACGTCTAGCACATGGATCATCCTGCATTGGGATGGCCTGATTGCATGATCTCTACCAGGCCTTGAGCGCTGGAGGATCCAGGCCCTGAATGACTCCGCTCTGTATCCCCAGGAGCCAGCGCAGGCAGCACCCGGAGGCCCGGGTCAGCCTTCCCCTCCAGGAGGCAGCGGACCACTCTCAGCAGAAGCTCGCTCTAATTTACACTTCCCCTGAGCAGCGCGGCTCCGCCCCCCACAAGCTGTGTGATCGCCCTCTGAGCCTCAGTTTCCCATGAGTAACAGCATGAGGGATGAGGGTGCCTAAACCTCGCAGAGGCAGTGGGAGAGGTTAGTGAGGAATCCCACAGGAGCGCTGGTGTCAAAGAGAAACAGAAGCTTCTCTCAACTCAGGGAAAAAGTGAACAGAGAAACAAGTTTGTCTTTTAAGGATGATGAACAGCTTTGAAGCAGTATAATTTTCAAGGCAATACAGCGTTGTTTACAGAGCTGTTAGCAATATTTCCTTAAAAAAAAGGAATTCTTCTGGCACTAACAGCTTAAAATCTCACTTTTCAGCTGTGAACACTGAAGATGAGTTGTCTTCGTTGTTTCAAACAACGTTTGAAATATTGTTCAGGTAATTACGGAAGTCATAAAACAATGGCTATTGTTGAATTCAAGATTACATAGAGGGCTTGTTAAGTTTTTCTTAAAGGTGACATATTCAAAAGGTAAATGCTTACTGTACCTTTATGGTGTCAAGAAGAACAATTCACTTACTCCCTTCCCACTGTAGTCCCATTTTAAATAAGGTGATTCCTGACAGTGTATTTGAAATAAGGACAACAACCACTAGCATGCAATTTGTGTGTTTGCTTTTTTCACTTTTGTCTTCCACACCAGCAGGCCAGTCCCTAGAGGGTAGGGGTGGTGTCCTGTCTGGCTGGGGGCTCCTTGGCCAGCACCCAGCAGGCCCTCAGTCAACATCTGTCTATGAGATGGGGAACAGTGAAGGCACATGGTGTCCCAGGCCCCTCTCCCGGCCCCTGGATCCGGTGGTCTCAGAGTCCCTCCTGTGCTCACCTGCCCCCCAGTTGGGGCTTCAGGTGGAAACTCAGCTTCCTCATTGGTCTCATTGATGACCTCCTCCCACTGCCACACGCCACACAAAGGGTTGGAGAGATCGGCGGCTGCCATTTCTTGTTTCTGGGAGAGAAGAAGTTGTTTCTGAGGCCAGGGAGAGTCAGATTAAGGCAGAAGACAGGTCAGAGGTGGGATGGAGATGGGCTGAGGCGTGAGGATGGGAGGTGGAAAGAAGGTGGTGTGAGAGGTTGGGCTGGGGAGTCGGTGGGGGCAGCACCTGGCAGGGGTTTGGTGCTCAGACCAAGGACTGGGTTAGGGATGAAGTTAAGGACTGAGATGGTCCTGGGGGAACTGGGGTGGTGTGAGAGGGCTGGGTCAGAGTTGCCGCTGGCGGTGGGTTAGGGTGTTCTGGGGGTGTCAGGCCCACCTGCCGAATGGCCTGGATCTCCACACCCAGCGATGGTCGTGGCACCTTGGTCCAGTCCACTCTCCTCACCTGAGCCCCTTCGGGTAGCCTGGCCACATAGTCAGGACGGGGAAAGCTGCCTCCATGCCTGCCCACCACCTGTCCGTTAGCCTATGCTGGGGTTGCTGCCCTGCCCACCTTGGGGCTGGAGGCCAGGGGTCCCTGTCCTGGGGCTCCCCTCCTGCTTCCTCCACCCCTGCCATTCCACTCACTCATCCAGCCCCTCATGGGTCTGACTCAGCTGCTCCTCCAGGTGTGAAATTTCCAGCCTCAGTTCCTGCAAAGGAAGAAGTGGGGGACCCCTGGGTCTCCATTTTTCCCCACCCCCCATGCCTGGGCTCCTCTTCCAAGGTCAGTTCCACTCCTGTGACTTCTTTGGGCTCCTCCAGACACATATTGCCAAGGGAGAAGGGGAAGAAACAGTGACAGAAACTTAGGAAGCCAAAGAGAGGCAAAGAGCAACAGGAACCCAGAAGGTAACCTATCAGTCAGGAAAATTAAGAAAAGGAAGGCAGAGATAGAAACACATGGAAAAACGAGAGACACAGAAACAGATTCACAGAAAGGCAAGAGACACGTGGGGTGCAAGAGACTCTGAAGACAAGGTATAGAGAGAGGAGTCGCCTCAGGAGACAGAGGGACTAGACCCAGAGAGAGGCCGAGACAAGAATCTAAACAAGCCCGGCAGAGATACAGAAATAGGAGGAGGGGAGATGTGGTGAGAAGTCACCCACAGAGAATGAAAGTGGATGGGAGGGATTTCCCTGGTGGTATAGTGGTTAAGAATCTGCCTTCCAATGCAGGGGACGTGGGTTCGATCCCTCGTTGGGGAACTAAGATCCCACCTGCCGCGGGGCAACTAAGTCTGCACGCCACAGCTACTGAGCCTGCGCGCTCTGGAGCCCGCACACCACAACTAGAAAGAAGCCTGCGTGCCGCAACTAGAGAAGCCTGTGCGCCGCAACAGAGACCCCGTGTGCTGCAACTAAGACCCAACATAGCCAAATAAATAAATAAATAAGTAAATATTAAAAAAAAAAAAAAAAAGGAATGTGGATAGGAGATGGAGATAGAGAGAGAGAAAGGAAGGAACAGAGGAAAAGTGAAAAGGCAGAGAGAGACAGAGAGGGAGACACACAGTCAAACAGTAGCGATGGGAGAAACAAGACGTGGAGACTTGGAAAAAGATCAACAGAGACAGAAGGAGGCAGCAAATCCCAGAGATGGCAAAAGAGAAGTGGGGAGAGTGGGGCCAGGCCAGTGGGTTACCTGGATTGTAGTTCTGTACTCCTCCAAGGTCTTGGCCAGACTCTCCGCGTGGCGAGTGCGCTGGGAAAGCCCAAAGCTGACTGAGACTGGGCCCAGCCCTCCAAAGACACTGAGGCTGGGTGTTGGGGGGACAGGCGGGGTGGGCTTGGGGGAAGAGCTAGGGCCTGAGGGAGAGCACCAGTTTCCCGGGAACTACTCTGATCTCTCCTGGCTAATTATCCAAGGATTACAGCCAAGCAGGACTTCCCTTTGCAGACTCGGGGCAGGAGACACACAGAAGGCAAATGTTTTCCCCCAGCCCCCTCACCTCGGAGAGGATGGCGTCTCGCTGGCAAATGAGGCGTTCACACTCGTAGAGCTGCCGCTGCCAAGGAAGGAGCCCGTCCATCTCTCTGGCCTGCCCTCCCTGGCCTGCCCACTCTCCCGAGCCCCTCTCCTCAACCTCCCTCCATGTCTCTGGACATCAGCTACACCGAGGGGGGTTTCAGCTGAGTTGCCCACTGGCCCTGGGAACCTGACGGCTTGACTGAAGTCCCTGATCTCACCAGACCACAGGGGCTGAAACTGGTGATTGTAAAAATGGCCTCGGGGTGGTAGGAAGTTGTCAAGGTGCTAGGGACGGGTGGCACCTTCAAAGCATCTTTCTCCGTGGCCAGCTCCTCACTCCTCCTTTTCACTCCATCCCGCTCGGCCAGCAGCTTCTCATTCTGAAAGAAGGGACCCTGGTCACATTCTCTTCAGCAAATGGCCATGTTAATATTCATAGCTGACATCTGCTGAGCACTTGATGTGCCTCGGGCCTCATGCTCAGCACTGTCTATCTTTTAGCCCATTTAATCCTTCCAACCATCCTATGGGATCTCAGCTTTGATTTGCCGATGAAAAATCAAAATAGAGCTGCAAAAATGGAGATAAGATAGGATGCACGGGGTGGCTGTGAGGATTAAACGAGCTAATTATTATTGCTAATAGTTACTGAACACCTTGCCAGTGTTAGCTTATTCCTTATGCCCTATTTTAAAGATAAGATGGGAATTCCCTGGCAGTCCACGGTGAAGACTCCACACTCTCACTGCTGAGGGCCTGGGTTCAATCCCTGGTTGGGGAGCTAAGATTCCACAAGCTGAGGGGCACAGCCGCCCAAAAAAATACCAGTATGATGAACCCCCATTATCCATCACCCAATTTCAATAATCATATACATTCTCCCTGTTTATTTCTTCTATATTTTTCAAATGTTTTTGTTTTGTTTTGTTTAACCAGAGTATTTTAAAGTAAACCCCAGGCATCATATTATTTCACCTGTAACTACTCCAGCATTTGTATTTTCTACTTGAGGACTTTTCCTCTAGTAAAACCACAATACGATGATCACTCTTAACAAAATTATTCATAATTCCTTAATATCATTGCACACCCAGTGCTCTTTTTTGGTTTCGGTTGTCTCACAAATGTCTTTTCACGTTTAGCTTCTTTGAATGAGGATCCAAACAAGGTCCACCATGGCTTTCAGTTGAAACCTCCCATTTCTTTTCATCTGACAGTGATCCCCAGCCTCCCCAGTCCTGGCACTTTTTCAGGTCCTTCATTTGTAGAAGAAACCAGGTCATTTGTCCTGTAGAATTGGTGCGTTTGGATTTGCTTTACTGTGTTCTTGTTCCCTGTGCAGGACGTTTACCATGCTCCTCCCCCCTCATTATTTCCTATAAACTGATGTGTAGGTCCAGGGCCTTGTCCAGACTCCTGTTTAATTTTTGGAAGGAAGATTTCATGGATACTGCTATATGCGCTATACTGTGCCTTTCAGGAAGAATGTAAAGTCTGGCTGTCCCAATTATTAATTTTTACACTGTCATCATCCCCAGTTTTACAGAAGAAATTAAGGATTGGCGTGGCTAAGAAACTTGGCCAAGGTCACGTGGAGAGTAAGTGGACTCAAACCCAAATCTGATTCCAAATCCTGCACTTCTGTTGTTGTTGTTGTTGTTGTTTTGCGTTACGCGGGCCTCTCACTGTTGTGGCCTCTTCCGTTGCGGAGCACAGGCTCCAGACGCGCAGGCTCAGCGGCCATGGCTCACGGGCCCAGCCGCTCCACAGCATGTGGGATCTTCCCGGACCGGGGCACTAACCTGCGTCCCCTGCATTGGCAGGCGGACTCGCAACAACTGCGCCACCAGGGAAGCCCGAATCCTGCACTTTTAACTCCCAGACTCCTCTGAGCCAGATGCAGCCCTGGATGAGAATGGGGAACGAGCTTCGTCCCTCATCTCAAGTTGCTCATCACTGGAGGTGGAGACCGACACAGAAGCAGATGGTAGTACACGAGGTGGCCCTGGGCCCTGGGCCTTGTGGGAGCCCAGGCTTTGCAAGGAGGACGTACTGGGTCTGAGTCCTCAAGGGTAAAGAGAGTTATCTGCGAAAACAAGGGGGCTGGGAGAGGGCAGCCCACGCCAGCCACAAAATGGGATTTGAGAATAAAACAGACCAAATTCCAGTCTAGAGCTTCCAGGCACCAAAAACCTAGCAAGTTGCGCTGAGTTTTGACATGAGGCAGTCACTGGGGAAAGCATTTCGGGAGCACGGAGGCAGTCGACTTACCCTTGGCCACATCCCTCCTCCTGGCGCCCCTAGGGATACCAAGGTCCGCTCCCCCGCTCACTCCAGCCTGGCTCAGCTCCAAGTCCTCCATCAGCCACCTTCTCCCCCTCTCAGGCTCAGCGGGCCTGGGCTGCCAGGTGAAGGGCAGAGCAAGGACGGGCCAGGAATGCTGTGTCAACATCTGTCCACCTGGTTGGGGTTTACAGGCTGGATCCTGGGCCACTCGGCAGGGAACCTGGTTACTCAGCCGCTCCTGCCTTCTTCTGCAGTAACCTGAGCCCTGCTCTGTACGTTCTCGTAGGAAAGCTGAGTGTCCCTTACTCCAGCATTATTCTACTGTAACTTGAGAACTTGATCTATAGATGGTCTGTAGGCAGCTGCTGAGAAGGGAAAGGTGGGGGAAGGGAACCAAGAATAGCTTGTTTATCAAGCGCCTAGGATGTCCCAGGCGCTGCTCAAGGCACTTGACCTGGCACAGGCCTTCTGGGCCAGGAGGAGGCAGAGACTGCCGGCTGCCATTCACCCTGCTTATTCCCTCTCCTACTTTCCTTGGGGGTGCACTATCCACGCGGGCAGGTGGGTCCCAGCCGCAGCTCTGGAGGTGAATCAAGATGGAAATCTCAGCAGATTCAGGACAGATACCCGGCTGGTTAGCTAACCCAGCAGCCATTCTCACCCCCTCTCACTCGTTTGCCTCCCACTCCGGAGGCTGAGGAAGGTCAGATATTATCCCAGCCTCTCATCATGTAATCCAGTGAGCTGTGAGAGGAGTCTGCTGGTGTGGGGGTGGAGTGGAGGTGCTCCTGGAAAAATGTTTCCTTCTTATGAAGAGAGAGAGCCATGAGAGGAGCATTTGTCCCGCTTTGTCCTGCTCTGAGTGAGAACGCGAGGTCTGGAGCTGTTGCAGCCATCTGTGATCCTGAGGCCATGGGCAGACAAACAAGTCAAAAAGCTGCCAAACCAGCCCAGAACCTTCAAAACCTCTTGTTAAGTTAATTAGTGTCCTTCAGACTGAAGCCACCGGTTCTTCGGTGCTTTCTTCTTCCGAGCTGAAAGTATCCCAGACCTATCGGTGGCTGTGTTATCCATGCCAGGGAGTGGTTTGGCTATAATCATTTGATGTCACTTTAGCCAATGAGATATGAGAGGGAGGTCCTGTCATGGAGCTTCAGGGAAAGTTTCTTCTTGTTCTTAAAAAGAGATGTTTTGGGGGAGGGGGTGGGATGAATTGGGAGATTGGGATTGACATATATACACTAATATGTATAAAATAGATAACCAATGAGAACCTGCTGTATAGCACAGGGAACTCTACGGCACTTTGCTGTACGGTAGAAACCAACACAACGTTGTAAAACAACTATACCCCTAATAAAAGAGATGTTCTAGAAGAAACAGTCACATCCTGTCTGCACCCCATGCTTCACACCATGGCAGCCATCCTGCAGCGAGATTCCCATTGTCCCGACAGAGGGAATTTTCATGGAAGAGCCAGGGAATGATAGTGGAAAATTTTTTGGTTTACGTGTAAAAGCCATAATACAGACATAGGACAGAGATTTGGGAGGATCAGGCAGAATGAGTATTACTGCCTGGACTGGGCAGAGATCCTCAGCGCTGGAGGAGGAGTTCAGGAAGAGTCAAAGAAGAGAACAACAGAGTGAAAATGGGCCCTAAGGCCAGTCCCAAGCCCCAGGTTAGACGGCTGGACAGGATGGATGCAGTTGAACCACAGAACCTCTGGAACATCTGGGAATCTGAGAGAGGTGTTTCCCAGCTCAGTCTGTGAAGCAGCAAGGTATGTGAAAAATAGAACAGAGATGGCTGTGTGAGGAGCTAAGGCACAGAAGGCCCAGTGAGGTCCCTATAGACACAAAGTCACAGGAAAGCAGCTAAACCTCCTCTGTGCCCCTAAAAGGGTGTGGAGGAACCCCAGTGGCATTTGTGGGTTGTGGGGTTCCGACGAGGGCTACCACCAGCAGATGCAGTGAGGACAGTACATCCAGAGACCAGAAGGCAATGTCAGGCCCCCAGTGGATGCCAGCGTGCAGTGGTGACTAAGGCTAAGGACCAGATGGGACAACGAACACCAGTCTGTGACCAGCAGAGAGAACAGACATTGACTGAGGAGCACTGAGATGCTGCATGGATCTCCAGCAACTTAGATGCCACCTTCCGTGCGGGCTTTATTTCCGCCTAAAAGGAGTAGGTGGACCCAGAATTAACTAAGACGATGTTTTCTGTCTCAGAATGGGGCTTGAATCAGCCCTGAGGTTGGACTGGGCATTTCATGCTATGTGTTAGGCTCTGGGCTAAAAGTGGCCATTTAATCCCCACAACAATCCTGACGAACAGATACCCTTCTCTCCTGTTCTTAGAGAATAAAACTATGGCTCGGAAAGGGCATGTCACATGCCTAAAGGCTGTCTGTTGTGTAAGTGGCAGAGATGGGATTTGTTTTTTTTTTTTTTTGGTCGTGCTGTGCAGCATGCAGGATCTTAGTTCCCCAGCCAGGGATCGAACCCGTGTCCCCTGCAGTGGAAGCTCAGAGTCCTAACCACTGGACTGCCAGGGGATTCCCAGAGACGGGATTTGAATCAGGGCTGACTTTAAGGCCTGTGCTCTTTCCACCATAAAAAATATGAACAACACTAGCTATCTTCTAGTGTGCTCTTTCCATGTGTCCTGCCTTGTACCTAGCATCCTCTTGTTTAAATCTCACACAATCCAACCAGGGAGATTCCATTATTTTTCCCTTTCTCGCAGGTGAGGGCACTGAGGCACAGAGAAGGGCAGACTGGCCCATGCTTATGTAGGCAGCCTCAACATAACGGGGAGTCCGCCCCATGCCCCACCCTCTTACCGACTGTGGCAGTCCTCACATGCAGCCATGTGACCTTCAGGGACTTCACACATTGGGATTGGGCTTCTGAGGTCTCCCTCACCAGACTGAAGGGTGTTTGTTGCAGGCGGCTGGGGGTGTTTGGGGCAGCAGTGGGTAGGGCAGGGAGATCCTGAGGACTGGGGAAGGGGTAGGGGTGGGCACTGGGCCTCAGCTCACCTCCTCCTGCAGACTCTCTATCTCAGCCACCAGCTGCTGCTGCTCCTTTTCCTGACCGAGCCCAGGGAGAGAACAAAGCCTTCTTTTCAGGCCTCCTTGCCCCCAGATTGCCCTTTTCCCACCCCTGGGCACACAGCTTGGGCCTGGGTCACTGAAGAGCAGGGCCGGGGGAATGCGTCTGCGGAGCCCTGCTGACTGCTGCTGTCCCCTTTGTTATGAGAGGGATGGCAAGTAGATCTGGATCCAAAGTCTAGGGAGCAGGGTCTGGACTGAGGGAGGAAGCCCGGGAGACCTCTGCCCTTTCCCACTCCATAGTCAGTCTCTGTTGCTCAGACTCCAAGATAGTAGGAAGAAGAGTGCACCTTTGTGCCCCTTGCCAGAAACCCACCGTCTGCCGGGCTTGGGCCAGAAGGCCGTGATTCTGTTCCTCCAGGCTCTTGGCCAGAGTCTTCAGGTCCTCCAGTTCCTCATCCACGGCCTTGGCAAACTGCAGAGCCTGTTGGGTACTGAGTGGGGGCGGGGGCAGGTGGGCCACATGGGAGAGAGGAAGACAGAGATCACAGATGTAGATCCACTCAGAGCAACAGAGAAATCCCAGACAGAGGCCCAGAGAAATCCCAGACAGAGACCCAGAGAAAAAAGGAGGGAAAGAGACTGAGTGTGGGGGACAGAAACCCAGTTTCTACCTAAAATACTAAGAAAGTGGCAGTGAGCCTGTGCCTGTGGGCAGGTGGGACACGGGGGTGTGCAGGAGGGTGGGCGGGGCCGGGCCCACCTGCGGAGCTGCTTGCGCAAAGCCAAAATTTCCTCCCCAAGGTGCAGGGAACCCTCCTCGGCTGTCTCCACACTGCGCTGCAGTTTGGCGTTCTCCCCGGCCAGCCGGCGGTTGCTGAGCTCCAAGTCCTCCAGGCTGCTCAGCAGGTCAGCTGTGGTGGGCCTGGGGACAGGGAAGGTCCAGGGTCACTGCCCACAGCCCTGGCCTCCTTTCCCCAGGTCGGGGTAGGTGTTGGTGTCGGGGAGATGCGGCTCTTCTAGAGAAAGAGAAATAGGAGACTGCCCCACTCTCCCTGCGCTATTAGCACAGCCTGTGTCCCTCACCCACTTCCCGAAGGACCCCAAGCCCTAGGCCAGGCCCTGGGCCCTAGGCAGGCTGGAGGGCATGGGCAGGGGGAAGGCAGGGAGGGGCTGAGGATAGGTACAACTCAGGTCTGGGGTCTTCGCCTCCGAAGCTCTCCAGGTTGGCTGGATCCTCAGCTTCTGAGCATCCTGGAGGGAGACAGACAGAGGGTGGTGGGCTTCCAGGTGGCCTGAGATGTTGGATTGCTCCAGGATTCCGGCCTTGGTCTTCCTTTGGCCTCCATCCTCAGATTCACTCTGGGTGATCCCATCTGCTCCTAGGGCTGCAATTATACACACCATCCAGAAAGCCTCTTGCTCATGGGTACCTTGAGCTCAGATTGGATCTCCCCATAGCCCCCAACCACCCCACATTCATCATGCCCAACACTGGGCAGCACCTCAACTGCCCCAAACTTGTCTGTCCTCCCAGTTCTCCCACTCACCCACCCAGCCCCTGGGCTGTCCTGGCTCCCTCACTCCTCCTGCCTCAGGCCTCACCTTCTCCCCCTGGATCCTCACCACAGCCTCCTCCCTGGACTCCTGGCCTCCAGCCTCTCCTCCCTGGGAGCTGACCTGCCCCTTCCCTGCTCACAGCCCGGTTGGAGGAGGTCCCAGAGAATAACAAGAAAGCTATATTTTTTGACTTTTGTTTTGTTTTTATAAGCCTGGAGAAATAGAACATGAACACTTTTTTATGGAGCACCTCCTGTGTGTGAAGACTTTGGGGTAGAATGGTGAGCAAACCAGCCAACCAAACAGCAGGGCAGGTAATGAGTCAGATAATCAGATTTCTGCAGGGGAGGACTGCAGGTCTGTGCTGAGGGAACTGGACAGAAAGGGACCTTAGCCTGCAGCATCCCAGGCCTTCCCCACCAGGGCTTCCCTATCAGGTGTGAAGGATTAGAGAAGACACAGAAGGTTTAGGCTGAGAAACAGCCTGAGCTGAGGCCAGGCCGGAGCGGGGCAGTGCCAGCAACAAGACCAGAGGGACCTTGAATGCAGGGACTAGAGTACAGGGAGGGGCCGGCTTGATGATGGTGATGGAGATGATGATGAGAGGTAGGAGGGGCCTCTGTAACAGGGCTGGTGTTAGGAGGGGTTGGAAAGAACCCGTGAGGAAAAAAACAAATAAACCCCAAAGCTCAGGGCAGCTGGGAGGCAGTCATGTCATGGAGGCACCTAGAAAGCCAAACTCGCAGCTCCAGGTTAGAGCAAAAGTCTCTGGAGTCCTGCCCCATCCCCTGCTCTGCCCCTGGGTGGGAAGTTCCCCACACTGTCTGACCCTGGGCTTGCCTGCTTCATTCTATATATAACAATCTCACCAGATGGCAGTTGCTGGGAGGTCAGGGTTCCCTCAAAGGCGGTCTCCTCTTCCAGCTCTAATCCCCTGTATCAAAGGGATGAGGCTTAGAGCTCCCTGCAACAACCCGCCCACTCCTGACCAGCCACTGGCAGGGGGATTGCGGGTGGTGGGAGGGGACAGGTCAGGTGAGAGTGAGCACCGTGGGGAGGAAGGTGAGGCCAGATGGCAAGCGCCCGGGGCCAGATGGAAAAGCAGGAGGGGCAAGGACTGGGTTTGGAGGAGGGATGGGGACAGGCCTCTGTCAGCCCCTTAACAATCACCCTTCTCCTCCTTCTAGCCCATTTTATTTCTGCCCCCAGACTCCCTCTGCCTCCCCATTTCAGGCACTTTGTCCTCAGAACCTCCCCCCCCAACCCCATCTCTACTTTTCTCTCCTCCTCAGCTTCCTTCCAACTACAGCAGGTCGCTGTGCCCAAAGGGTGCTGGCTGCAGTAAGCAGGTATGAGGTTAGATCTTAGGAAGGGTTTCCTGGGGGAGGGGGGAGGTGCGGGGACCCACCCATCCAGCTGACAGGCAGCAATCCAGTCCCGCATGATGACCAGGAAGGTGTCCAAGTCCACAGTGGCCTGAGGGCCCTCGCCATTGGGGTCCAGGCTGCAGGCCAGTGTTTGGAGGCGTGCATCCTGGGGACCCCGTCCCGTCACAGCCTCCAGGTAGGCTAGTACATGGGTCACAGCCACAGTGCCTGGGGATAAAGCAGGCTGTGAGGGAGTCTGGGGCAGGTGAGGGGTGGGGGATGGGGACAGGCAATGGCTTTGAAGTGGGACCACTGGCTGGGCTGGTGGCCCCCCAGCACCATGGCCCTTGGGCAATGGGGCCCAGTCATCCCCACCTCAGAAGGTGGACTGAAGAGGACCAGCTGTGCCCCACCAGGTCCACAGTGGCTGCCCTTCCTCCCTCTCCCAGGCCCCAAAGCCCCACCCTCCTCTGTTAACATTCCCCAAGTTTCCTCCCCTCACTGTCCTTGTCCTGAAAGGCCTCCATCCCCTTATCCATTTCCTTCCGGAAGCTTCCCACAATCATCCACTTCACCCTAGCCCATCCCTCTCGCTATGGCTCCCCAGTTCCCAGCCGCCCATCTCCATCCCTCATAATTCCTTGATTCTCTGACCTGTCCTCTGGGGGTCACAAGCTTCAAACGTGGAGTTGAGTATTTGTTCCTCTAAGCTGAGCGGTGTCCCCAGGCTCCCCTCCTCTGGCTGGTCCAAGAGGTACACTGAGGAGACAAGAGTGCCAGCCCACCTATGAGGAGGGGGGACGATGAAGAGCAAAGAGGGGTGACCCCAGGTCCTGGCTCCTGCAGAGGGGAAGGAATTCATTTCAAGCTGCCTGGAGTTTGGGCTGGTGGGGAACCGCAGGAAGCTTTGGGTGGCAGCCGCAATGTGAGGGTCTTTGAGTCACCTCCCCCATCCCCTGACCTGGGAATGTGGGCCCCATCTTTCAGGCCAGGAAGTGCCCCTGCTGTTGAATCCTTTGTGTTCAATTGGCTCAGGAGCCCAGATACTGAACAAATACTCTGAGTACAGCCTTTCCTCCTCTCTTCCCCTGCTTCCCAGGCTCGGCTCAGAGGGGGCTAAGGGTGGAGGAGGGCAAAGAAGAGAGGATTCTGGGAGAAGCCGAGGGTGAAGGTGGGCCCAGGAGCCAGGAACAATCCAATATCGCGCGGGCAGCCTGGATCGATCCCTCCCGGCAGCATCTCCGGTCTCCCAGCCTGCCTCGGGGCTGGGTCTCTCTCCTTCCCACATCCCTGAGGCTGGCATCATCAGTGCCCACAGCCTGGGGCCTGAAACGAAGGGGGATGGGGCAATCCAGGCAGGGTGGGTGGCTGGGGAGCAGTTAGGAGCTCAGAGTCCAGCTTCATGACTGTGGGCAAGTCTTTTCTCCTTTTGGAGCCTCAGTTTCCCCACCGGTAAAATGGGTGGATAGAGTGATCTCCCCTCCCCAGGGATGGGAGGGCTAGGTCTATGTATTTGAAGAGCACCCCCTCTCCCCTGCCTCTGCACAATGTGAATATCCTGGGGTCTGTTTGTCCACTGCTGTATCCACACATAACAGGCACTCAACAAATGCTCCAAGATATAGAAGGAGCCTATATATTCTCTACCCCAGGACCCACTGGGCCAGCCCAGCCTCTTTCCCAGGGCTGGAAGTGACCTATGAGGCTCCCTGCCCTGACCCTGGACAACTGGGTATAGCAGAGGGCCAAGCACAGGCTGCAAGGTCTGACAGACTCAGGGGGCAATCTGGGCAAGGGACTCAGGCTCTTGGAGCCTCAGTTTCTTCCTCCGGAAAATGGGTGGGGGGGTGGTTACTTCGCTCCTGGAGAAGAGATGAGATAAAATCTGGAAAGGTCCTGGCAGAGGGCCTGGCACATGGTGGAAGCTCAATAATAAAACTGAACATTTATTCAGCCTTTAATAGGAGCCAGGCCCCTTCTGAGCATCTTACACGAACCATGGTGGCTGCTATTATTAGCCCCACTTTAAAGATAAGGATACTTAGAGACGGGCAAGTTAGAAACTTGCCAAAGGTCACATGTTCAACATATGAGTGCCCTTTCTCATCCCTCTGATTCTTCAAGCGTTCTTTGTAGTGAGCTAAAATTTGTCCCCTTGGGTTTGAACTCATGCTTCTAGGGAAGGGGAGCGGGAATGTATAGTTAGGGGAGACACCTCCTCTCACTGTGCCCCCATGTTATGGAGGAGGACCCTGAGGCCCAGTGAGGTCACCCAGGACTGGCTGGCTCCAGATGTCGTGGGATCTGAGGATCTGCATGTATCTACAGTGCAGATGTGACACTCTGCCTCCCGGGGCCCCTCAGATGTCACTCTGCTTCTCTTCTGTCTTCTTTCCTTCATTTCCTTCCTCAGTGTCTCTACCTCTGTCTCTGTCCTGTCCCTTTTCTAGTTTTTTCTCTCTGGCTCTTTCTCCCCATCCTCCTCCCCATCTCTCTGTCCCCTGAGTCCTGCCTGCCTGTCTCCATGTCCACCGCTCCCATTTTCTTCCCTCTGTGCTTCTTTCCCCACAACTCAGCGACTCTCCGTTCCCTGAGCCTTCTCTCTCCCTCCTCCGCTGTCTTGTCTCTCTCCCCCACTGCCTTCCTCGGTCTCCATCCCTTCTGGGTGTGTTCCTCCCTTTCCTTCGGGAGCCTCGCAAAGCTGGCTCAGCCCTTGGCCATGGGTTCCTCGGTGGCCGCACGCCCTCTGCTGGTGCAGACGAAGTTTAGATGTTTAGATGTTGGTCCCTCGGTCAGCATGCCCTCGCTTCCCGAACCCCAGTGTCTGCCTCCTACCTTCTTATCTGGAGAGCCTCCTGAGGCCAGAGTCCAGGCCTGCTAGGAGCCTCTAAGAAAGGGGTCTTGCCTCTCCTCTAGGATGGGAGTCTCCCTCGGGCTCTCTCACTTAATAGATGAGTTTCAGGAAGGGCAGCCCAGCATCTTCCGCCCGAAGCCGCTTTCACACCCATTTGGTCTGCATCCATCCAATTATTCAAGGACTTAGCAACTGGGTTCCTATTACATGTCAGGCATTGCTCCAGTGCAGCGTGACCAACAGGGCAGCTGCTGGCCACAGTGGTTCTTGAGACCTGAACTGTGGTGAGTGTAAATTGAGGTGCTCTATTAGTGTAAAGTACACACCAGATTTTGAAGACTTAGTATGAAAAAAAGAGAATGACTCCAACACATTTTTATATTGTTGTATGCTGAAAGGATACTGTTTTGGATATATGCAGTTAAATAAAATCTATTATTGCCATTCATTTTGTCTGTTTCTTTTTTTTTCTTTCAATGTGGCTACTAACAAAATTTTAAATTACATATATGGCTCGCACATTGACCAGCACAGCTCTAGGGTCTGGGAATACAGAGTGAATAAAACCGAGGCTGCCCTGTGGAGCTCATGTTCTAGTGGGGGAGACAGAGTCTAAACAGACAGACAAATAGACGTCAGTGCTATGAAGAGAAGTAAAGCAGGAAAGGGGAGAGAGTGCGACAGGGCAGCTGCTTTACAGAAAGCAGAGATCTGAATGAAGTGAGGGTAGCCTGTGGGTCACTGGAGAGGGTGCTCCAGGCAGGGGGCACAGCGCATGCAGAGGCTTCTACTCTCGCAGTCTGGCCTCCCCAGAGCAAATGAAATAAGGTGTCCAGGCAGGTGGGCACACAGCAGGCACTTCATCAAGGATCCCTCCCTACCGCCCACCCTGCCTTGAGGTGGAGGCTCAGCCACCCCAGGCCACCTCTCCCAAGTCCCCGAGTCACAGCCTGGTGTCCCATCCACCCACTCCTCCCTCTTCATCCTCCCACGGGACAAACAGGGACGCAGCCACTTACCTTCGGCAGCAGGGCCACCCGCCTGGCTCTCTGGCAGGTCCATGGGCCACCCCTGCTGCTCTGCAGCTGCTGGTGAAGCTAACAGCTCCCCCACATCACTGGGAGGGAACGAAAAGGGACCAGCTTCTTCAAGAGATCCTGGAAGGACAAACAGGGGAATGCCCTCCTCAGACCAGCCACCCGTGGATGGAGACCTGCCCTGCCCCACCTGTGCGCCAGGCCGCTCTGGATTCTCAGAACCAGTTTGCCTACCCCTGCCTGGACCAGTGCAGCTCCCACTCAGACCTGTTTTATGGACTGGAGGTGTGAGCTGGGAAAATGGGGGGCCCAAGCAGTGGGCGGCAGAGATCAAAGGGGGTAGGGTCACTCCTTCCTGCCATCCCTCCTCCTCGCAGTTTGTCAAGTTCCCCAGCCCTGTCCCTCCTGCCCAGTGACTCTCCCCTGACCCCTCCTCTCCTTCCCTATGGCCCCAGGTCAGGCCTCAGCCTCTCCCCCTGGGCCCTTGACCCAGCCTCCTGACTCCAGTCTCCCGCCCCAATCCATCCTCACAGGGCCCCAGAGCTACCCGCCCCTCCCCTGCTCAATGTCTTTCCACAGCGCCCAAGCACCCCGTGGACAAAGCCTAGACCTTGGACTTGATATCGAAGGCCCTTCATGGCCTGATCCCACCTGTCTCCCTGACCCCAAATCCCACTTGCTGCTCCAGCAACTCTGAACTGTGTGCTGTTCCCCAAACTGAGCCAGTTCTTCCCACCTCCAGGTCTCTGCCTGGGACATCCTCTTCACTGGCCCTTCCTGTCTCAGCTCCCATGTCCCCTCCTCTGGAAAACGTTTCCGAAAGAGGGGCTGTCCCTGGGTTCTCACACCACCCTGGGCTACTGACATTCTTGCCCTATCAGCTTGTATTTGGAACTGCTGGCTTCGCCTGTGAGTTTGATCCCCACCTCTCTCCTGCTCCCAGCCCTCCCATGGCTCCCTAGTGCCCTCAGGACTAAGTCCAGCCCCTCAGGCTGGTTCAGCACAGAGTTGTCCCTGAAACTCCTGGCTTCTTCTTGTCACTTTGCTCTCCACTGGCCGACCTCCATGTCCCTCACGGCCCATATAGAGACTCAGCATCTTCCCATGGTCCTCCCAGGCCCAGACTCGCAGCTCCTCTGGGGAGCCTTCCTTGAGTGCCTAGAGCAGTTAGGGACTCCCTCCCTTGTGCCCTGACAGTGCCCTGTCCTGCTTCCATCATACCCAGGTTGACCATACGACTTACTGTCCCAACTCCAGGACACTTTCAAGAGTGAAAGTGTGAATAATGTGAATAATGACAACAGACAATGGTGCCCATATAAGGCTGAACTGGGCACACTGGGGCACACGGTCAACATACGGTCACCTGGGGCCTGTCTGTCCTCACCCCACCCACTCAGCCCCCCCTTTCCTCACCAAGTACTCCCCACGCCCTGCTCCCCCTGGTGCCAGACGGGAGTCCACAGCTGTGGAGTGCACACTTCCTGGTGGCTTTTAGAAGGTCCTAGAAAAAGGGGTCTTTCAAGAGAGACCCTTCCAGAGTGTGGACCAGGCTGGGGGGTGCAGAAGGGGGGTGACGGCTGTGGGGCCTGAGTGGGGAAGGGTCCCTGCGAGCGAGGGTGCTGACAGGCCCTGGGAGCCTCTGACAGGGCTTGGGGGACACACTCCTGGTGAGGGACCGAGGGAGGCTCTGGTGGGGGACCGAGGGAGGCTCTGGTGGACCTCAGGGGTCTTTGACGGGGAGATTCTAGCAGGAGGAGGACCCAAGCAAGCATTGTGGGGATTTCAAGGGGGTCTCTGACTGGATTTCTGGGGAGTCTCCGGATTTCGGGGGAGGGCGTCTCTAACAGGATTTTGGAGGGGAATCTGACAGGATTTTTGGTTTCTGGGGTCCTCTGGCAGGACTTGGGGGGAGGGTTCTGATAGGAGTTGGGAGGAGCGAAACAGGGTTTGGGGGGGTGTCTCTGACAGGCTCTGAGGGAGAAGTCTGACAGAATTTCTAGAAGATTCTGACAGGATTTCAGGGGTCATCTACAAGATTTCCTGGGGGGTTCCTTTCAGTATTTCTGAGGGGATCTGGTCAGGATTTCAAAGAGACTTTTAACAAGCCTTGGAAGGCCCTGATATTGGGGACTCTCCCGTAGGATTTGGGGGCTCTGCCAGGATTTCAGGAGGGGTTCTGACTCGGCTGGTCCGGGGAACCTCGACACGGCCAGGGCGCACCTGAGGCCACGTCCCAGTCTAGGGACACAGCTGAGGGCCACGAACGACAAACAAACGGCACCTGGGTCGTTGAGGAGAGGCGCGTGCGTTGCGCCCGCCCGGAAAAGCAAAGGCGGCGGGGTGGGATCGAGAGCGCGCGCGGCGTCTCAGAGCTCCTCCCCCGACGCAGGCGCACACGGGGGCCAGGCGTGCGCGGGTGTAGTCGGTTACCTGTAAGGCCGCGCATGCGTAGGGCTGCCGGGGCGCGCGACCGGTCTCGTGAAGTGGGCGCATGCGTATCGGCCGAGCGGGCGAAGGGTGAAGGGACTACAGCTGCCGGGAGAGGGCGGTGGGGGCTGCGTCACCTGCGCTGGAATCTTCTCTACGCCCTCAAGCTTAGGTGAAATGGGCCCAAGCAAGGGAGCGTTGGCCTGAGGGACCCCTGGTCCATCCCCCACTTCTTATCAGTCAGCAAGCCGTCCCCCTTTTGCCCTCTGTTCCGTGCCAGGTTGCCGGTCACCGTCACAATGATGCCCTGCCCTGTCCTGCCTCACCACTCCCGTGCCTTTTTGTGGCTCCAGTCACCATGTATTAATAGGTCCCCGAAGGATTCTTTCCCAAACCGTTTTATTCATTCCTTTTAGGAGAGAGTGGAGGAAAAATAGCCTCAGCTTTTCTGGCTAGAGCGAGGAAGAGAATTATATCCCAAATTGACTCCTAAGGAGGGGCATTAGGGGTAAAAGATGTCCCACGCATTCAGCCTCTTTGCTAGCCTAGACACAGAAAAGGAATCATTTTGCATTCTTCCGTTCATCCCATCCTTATTCATTCAAGTGTTACTTCCTCAGAGAGGCTTTCCTCTGACACACTGCCTGTAATTCAGACCCCCCCATCTCTCTACTTACTCTTTTTTATTGGTCCTCGTGGCACGTCTCGCCACGTGACATATTCTATATTTGTGTACTGTCTTTGTCACCCCTCACTGGAATGTGAGCCCTGAGCAGCAGGAGGCTGTTTGGGGACTAGAACATGGCTGGCCCAGTGTGGGCGCTCAAAATTTTTCGTTGAGTGAATGAATGAAGGGACAGAATCCGTGCCTGGTAACTACTGGTCAGTGTTAGAGTGATGATAAGGCTGGAGTCAGACGTTCTTGGGTTTGAATTTTGGCTCCATCACTTCCTACCTGTAACCTTGGCACAATGGCTTACCCTCTCTGAGCCTCAGTTTTCCTCCCAGAAATGGAGATAATAATTGATTCTTAGGTTACCTTGAGGACTTAAGGTGGTAATCCTTGTTAATTGATAGTTATTATTTTGGCTATTAGGTGGCAGCTTGTTATAAGACCTGGGAAAGAACCTGTTTGACAGGTGATGTGGTGAATGGTTAACAGTGTGAGATAGGGAATCAGACAAACCTAGTGCCATTGCTCTGTGACTTTGGCAAGTGATTTCACCTCTCTGAACCTCTCAGCTTCTTCCCTAAAATGGGAACAAGTAATATCCGCCCTATGGGGTCTTATGAGAGTTCAATAAGAATGTTTGCCTAGAGTTTTCTTAGCCCTGGCTGGTAAGTGTTGGACATCGTTAACTTTATTAGTATAATTTCATTCTTTCATTTTATTCCTTCAGTATTTCTTGTTTTTTTTCCTTTTTTTGAGGAAAATAATTCTGTAAAACCTAAAATAATTAAAAAACCATTTTATAGTGTAGTTATACATAAAGTACTAAATCTTAAGTTATGCCTCAATTAAATTTTTATAGAGTAATACATTAATGAAACCATCCATATAAAAAAAGAGAGTATTGCCTGCAGCCCAGAAATCTTCACACTTCCTCTTAATCATTACCCCCCAAAGGTAACCGCCTTGAATTATGGCCTCTTTTGCTCAACGTTATATTTATAGAATTCATCATGTAGCAGTAGGTCATTTATTTCACTGCTGTGTAATATTCCATTGTATGAATACGCTACAACTGAATCATTTTACTCTCGATGGACATTGGGTTGTTTCTGCTTTTTGGCAATTATGTATACTGTTACTATGAATTATTTATCCAGATTTTCTTTAATTACTCTCAGTAATGTCAGAGATCTAGCAAATCTTTTGTTAGGTTTATTCGTAGGTATTTTGTTTGTTTTGCTAATGCAAATCATATTTTTAAAAATTGCATTAAAAATCTTTTTGTTCCTAATGTTTAGGAATATAATTGATTAGGGTATATTAATCTTATACACAGTGAAGGGTAGCAGAATATGCCACCCCAAAATATCCAACTATGGCATAAGGATCATTTTGAACTGAACACAATTGAGAAGAAGCAGATACAAGAAAAGCTCTCTGCCCTTCCCTATTTGCCTAAAAGCTGGATATAAATTTGTTTTGTTTGTTTGTTTGTCTTTTGACTGCACCATGTGGCTTGCGGGATCTTAGTTCCCTGACGAGGGATGGAACCCATGTCCCCTGCAGTGGAAGGTCGGAGTCCTAACCACTGGACCACCAGGGAATCCCCATGGATATAAATTTGTAAAGGTGTTCCCTCTCCCCTCTCTACCAGGAAGGACAAAAGTTAATAACTCTAGACCCTTGTCCACCCAGACACAGCACCAGCAGTCTCCCCAAGGGTACCCCCTACCCTTGTTGCTAACAGCATAGATTACTTTTGCTTGTTTTCATACTCCATATAAGTGGAACCATATAGTATGTACTCTTTTGTGATCTGGTTCTTTTGCTCAATTGTTGTGAAATTCAGCTATACAGTTGCATAGTTGTAGATCAGGAAATCTTTGCCTTTATTGGGAGTATTTAGTTCCAGTTACTTAAAAAAAAAACCTTCATTTTGAAAAACCTCAAATATATACAAAGTGAGCAGAACAAAGCCCCATGTATCCAACACCCAGCTTTAATAATGGTCAACATTCTGCCATTCTCTTATTTATACCTGTACCCTCATCCCACTTTATATTGTTATTTATTTTTTTTAACGTTTCTTATTTTCAGGTAAACTTTACATGTGTTAAAATGCACGAGTCTTAACGGAACAATTCTGATAAAGTTCCATTTAGTTTTAATGTAATACTGATATTTTTCTTTAGATCTACCATTTTGCTATTTGTTATATATTTCCCCCATCTAATCTGTTCTGTGTATTCTCTTCTTTTCTGGCTTTCTTTTATATTAGTCAAGTTTTTTGTTTTTTTTTTTCTCTTCTGTTATGTTTTATTCTTCTTCTTCTGTTATGTTTATGGTTATGTTCTTTTATTTTTTTGGTGGTTTTCCTAGAGACTACCATAGGCATCCTTGGCTTATTAGAGTTCTACTTTAAATTAGTACTTTTATCATTTCTTGGACTACGTGAGGACCTAACGACACTTTAATTCCATTTAGCTCCTCCTGCCTGTTGTCTTGCATTTTATTTATTTAATTAATTTATTTATTTTGGCTGCACCGAGCAGCTTGTGGGATCTTAGTTCCCCGACAGGGGATTGAACCTGGGCCCTTGGCAGTGAGAGCACCGAGTCCTAACCACAGGAATTCCCTGTTGTTCATTTTAATTCTGCATATATTTTAAATTCCACAAGATATTATTGTTATTGTTTTAAGCAGTAAGTATTCATTTAGATTTGGCACATACTTACCTCAGGGTTCTTTGTATCTCCCCTCATTACTGAACTTTCATCTGGAGGCATTTCCTCCTACCTGACAAACTCTAGCATTTCTTTTTGTGCAGGACTGCTGCTGATAAATGTTTCGTTTCAGTTTGTCTGAAAAAAATGTCTTTATTTTCCCATTACTTTTTTTTTTTTTTGGCTGCATTGAGTCCTAGTTGTGGCGTGTGGGCTCTCTCATTGAGGCGTGCAAGCTCAGTAGTTGTGATGCATGGGCTTAGCTGCCCTGGAGCGTGTGGGAACCTAGTTCCCCAACCAGGGATTGAACCCGTGTTGCCTGCATTGGAAGGTGGATTCTTTACCACTCGACCACCGGGGAAGTCCCTTTGCCATTACTTTTGAAGGATGTTTTCACTGGGTATGATATTCTAGATTGACGATGGCTTTCTTTCAGCCTTTTGACTGTGTCATTGAATTGTTTTCTGACTTCCATTTTTTTTTCCTATTTACAAGTCAGCTGTCTGTCTTATTTCCTCTTTGAAGTAAAGTGTCCTTTTCCTTTGGCTGCTTTCAAGGTTTGTTGTTGTTTTAGGTTTTCATAGGTTTTAATGTGATATGCCTAAGTGTGGTTTCTTTGTGTTTATTCTGCTTGGGGTTCCTAAAGCTTGAATCTGTGAGTTGATGTCTCATCAACTTTGTAAAATTCTTGGCTAGTGTCTCTTCAAATGTTGCTTAGTACTCTTTCTCTTTTCTCTCTACTTCTAGGACTTCAATATATGTTTGAAAGGCTTTTTCACCATGACCAGTATGTCTCATATGTCTTTTGTATATTTTCCATCCTTTTTCACTGATTCAGTCTGGCTATTTCTACTGACCTCTTTCCCACTGTGTCTAATCTGCTGTAAAACCCATCTGCTGAATTTTTAATTTATTTATAAGTTCTAAAATTTACACTGGATTCCATCTCCTCCCCCCCCCCACTTTTTAGGTTCCGGTTCTCTGATGAAATTCTCCATCTTTTCATCTATTTTTTTGAGCATATTAATCATAGTTACCTTAAGGTCTGTGTCTGATAATGCCGTATCTGGATCACCTATGGATGCATACTTCTACTGATCTACAGACAGGGAAACATCGATTTCCCCAGATGCCAGGTGTGGTTAAGGTTATGGAGTCCCCATGGACTGCTAGAGGGAGTAGACTTGTCAGAACATTTTGCCTAATCAAAATAGGTAGATGCATCCCCTACAACCCAGCAATTCTTTTCTGGTTATAGCTCCCCAGATCCCTCCTGCCCTCCTTCTGGACCACAGGGGGACATATATACTAATGTTTATTGTAGCATTATTTGTAATGGTGAGAAGTCAGAAGCAATTCAGTTGTGTATCACTGAGAGTGTGGAAAGGTTACATGTGGTGAAGACTGACCATGGAATTTATTCAGTGGATTGGATGGATATTGGATGTACCAATGCAATATGGAGGAGTCTTAAAGAAGGTGCTAAAAAAAAAAGCCCCATAAGAATGACGTGTGTAAAAAAAAAAAAAAAAAGAATGACGTGTGTAATACCACCTATGGAAATTACAAATACATGCATAAAAAGGAATGATCATATTTAGCAAGAATATGTACTGTTAGAAGCTGATGTGTGTCCTTCCAAAAATTCATATGTTGAAGCCCTACCCACTGGTACTTCAGAATACAATCATATTTGGAGACAGATCTTCAAAGAGATTATTAAATTAAGAGGAGGTCTCTAAGATGGGCCCTAATCCAGTATGACTGATGTCCTTACAAGAGGAGGAAATTTGGACGCAGACATGTGCGTGCATGGGAAAAGACCACGTGAAGACACAAAGAAAAGATGGCCATCTGTAAGTCAGGGAGAGAGGCCTCAGAAGACACCTAACTGGCCGACACCTTGATGTCAGACTTCTACCTCCAGAACTGTGAGAAAATAAAATTCTGTTGTTTAAGTCACCCAGTCTGTGGTTTTTCTTATGGCGGTCCTAGCCGACTAATACACTTACCAAAAACACAAGAAATAGTGTCAATGGTGGGAAAGTGAATGGGACTGGGGGGGTGGGGAGAGAAGGTATGGAAAGGCCAGTCAAGTTCTGATATTCTCCATGAGGACATATTGATGCTTATTTGGAATAATCAAAAACCTATTTTTTTTCAAAAGGAAATTCTCTTTTATTTATGCCCACACATTGCTAATTTCCTGAATGTGCTGAGTCTCTCTGTGGGGTGATCCAACCCTGAACCCGGGCTTCGAGGGAGAAAGTGCATGTTGTGTCTGCACCCTTACAAGACGCAGCACCATGAAGACCCTCATGTGCCTTCTCAATTTTTTTTTTTTGCCCCCACAGCATGGCGTACGGGATCCTAGTTCCCCAATGAGGGATCGAACCTGTGCCCCCTGCAGTGGAAGTGTGGAGTCCTGACCACTGGACCGCCAGGGAACTCCGTCAATGGTGGGTCTTGAGAGAGGGGTCTTGGAGGGAATAGGGGCGTGCTCTGAGGATGGGGGATGGGGGCACAGTGGCAGGGCACCCAAGACAGGGTCTCTGAGCTTCCAGGTTTGGCTGAGGCAGCAGGCCTGGCTTGCAGAGTTAGAGTCTGAGGTGACGCTCATAGAGGGACAGACAGAGGGACAAAGGGAGAGAGACACAGAGCAATTCGAGATGGAGTCAGCATGTAAATTGAGTGTCAGGGAATTAAAAGACAAAGATGAGAGAATGGAGACAGGTGGATGTAACAGAGATGGGGCTGGAAACACAGACTTGGGGGCTGGAGGTGACAGGGTCTGGACAGAATAATGGCCTCCCAAAGATGGCCCCTGTCTAATTCATGGAACCTGTTTAATATGTTGTCCAGGTGGGCTCAATCCCATCCCATGAGCCCTTCAAGGCAGAGAACTCTCTCCTGCTGGAAGAGGAAGAGGAACACATAAGGGAGATGGGGCAGAAGGGAAATACAGAGAGATTCCACGCGTGAGATTTGAAGTATGGGATTCACATGCAAAAACCGGAGAGAGACCTCTAGGAACTAAGTGTGGGTGGCCCAGGTGACAGCCAGCAAGGAAGCAGGGACCTCAGTTCAACCCCAAGGGACTTGATTGTGCCAACAACCTGAATGATCTTCAAAGCAGAGCTGTCCCAGAGCCTCCAGGTAAGAACCCCGCTGGCTAACACCTTGATGTTGCCCTTGTGATACCTGCACAGAGGACCAGCCCAGCCGTCCTGGATTTCTGACCTGTAGACCAGTGAGAGGATACATTTGTGTTGTTTTAAGTTGCTACATTAGCGGTCATTTTTTGCGGCAGTAACAGGAAACTAATGCAAGGGCAGAGTGGACAGACAGGACTCGAGTGAAAGAGCTGGGAGTTGGAGGGCAGACAGAGCTGGAGGTGACAGGGATGGGGACTGAGGATACTGATGGGGCTGGAGGTCACAGAGTTGCTCAGTCAGAAGACAGATGGCGTCTGAATCAGTAAACAACACAGAGACATTGGCAGGAACTAACATCTCAGCCAGATGTCATGCTGAAGGTTAAGGTTGGGGGGACTTGCCATGGCTTGGCTGGCTGAGGCCTGAGGACAGATCTCCAAAGGAGACAGTGCTGCTGGATGTAAGAAAAAGTTTAATTTCCATATGGTGCCTGGGGTGGGGTCTGGTGGGGGGGTACATGCAGGTGTTCCCTGGTCCCCCCACTATAACTGCTGGGAGGGCCTGAGGATATACAGGAAGTGGGTCTTGCGGGCAGGCAGCCTGGCATGAGAGGAGCTCTGGGTCCCCTGTTCGAGGACGTCCTCGCGGGTCCCCTCTCGGAGCCCATCCCGGATGGCCTGCAGGCGGTGTTGCTTCTCACTGAGCCAGTGGTCGCTCTCCTGGGCATCCTGGTGGGACCTCCGCCGTGGCAGCTTCATGATCCAGAAGGCCATTCGGGGGTGGGGTTCCGGGTGGAAGCTGTCCACGGCCTTTGGGACAGGCACCAGGGCCTCCTTCTCCTCTATCTTGGGTACCTGGTGAAGAGGGACGAGGAGACCCTCTCAAACTCCAAGTGACAGCCTCAAGGTGCTCCCCTGGCATACTCAACCCACTTTGCCACCTATGGGGGGCTTTGGGAATTAAAAGCTCACCCTGCAGCTTACAAAACACTCGGGTTTATAAGCGCTTTAGAATTAAAAATACTCTGAGGTTTATAGAATACTCTGGGTTTGAAAACACATTTTGGAGGTTTCAGAAGCACTTTAGGATTAAGCATTCCCCGAGGTTTAGAAAGCAGTTTGAAATGTACAAAGCACTTTGGGATTAAAGAATCATGACTACAGTTGCAACATGTGATCCTTGACTGGATCCTGGATCAAACATCAATCACATCAGCTCTTGTGGACAGCTTTTGGTCCAGCAGGGACATTTCAATGTCTGTTCGGTCCTTGCTACTCAAAGTGAGGGTTGTGGACCAGCAGCGTCAGCATCACTTGGGAGCTTGTTAGACATGCAAATGAGCGGGCCCTACCCCATCCAGACCTACTGAATCAAGAGTCTACATTTCAGTACGTTGAGGTTTGGGAAGCCCCATAGGAGATGGTTACAGGTTGAATTGTGTCTCCCCCACTCTCCAATTCATATGTTGAGGTCCATTAGGACCCTAGTAGCTCAGAATGTAATCTCATTTGGAAATAGGGTCACTATGTAGTTTTCATTAGTTAAGATGAGGTCATTAGAGTGGGCTCTAATCTGACTGGTGTTCTTATGCAAAGGGGAAATCTGGACATAGAAATGCACATAGGGAGAACCCCATGCAAAGATGAAGGCAGAGATGGGGATGATGCCTCAACCTGCCAAGGAATGCTAAAGAATTGTCAGCAAACCACCAGAAGCTAGGGAAGAGGAATGGAACGGATTCTCCCCAACAGCTCTCTGAAGGAACCAACCCTGCTGACACCTTGATCTTGGACATCTAGCCTCCAGAACCGTGAGACAATACATGTCTGTTGTTTAAGCCACCCAATCTGTGGGACTTCACTACGGCAGCCCTAGCAAACTAATACAGAGATAATAGTCTGATTTCTTGGGTGTAAAAATGGGACTACGGTAACACACAAGCGAATGCATTATTCTTAGGAGATATCTGCTGAAGGATTTAGGGGTGAAGTGTCATGATGTCAATAATTTACTGTCATATGGTTCAAAAATAAAAAAGTAAAAAGAAAGTCAGTATGGTAAAATGTTAACAAGTGGTGAAACTAGGCCAGTGGTTTTCAACCCAAGTCTGGAGACATTTTTGGTTGTCACAACTGGAGGGGGTGTGGGTGCTACTTCCGTCTAGTGGGTAGAGGCAGGGATGCTGCTAAACATCGTATAGGGCACGGGACAGCCCCCTACAACAAAAAATTATCCAGCCCCAAATGCCAATGGTGCTGATGTTGAGAAACCCTGCTCTGTGGAAAAGTGGATACAGGTTTATGGTACTATTGTTTTTGCAACTTTTCTGTAGATTTGAAATCTTTAAAATAAAAAACTGGGAGTGTGTGTGGGAGAACCATGTGGGTTTGCCAAGCACTTGAGTGTTCTTACAACATTTTAGGATCAAAAAATAAGCACTTTGTGATTAGAATCACTCTTAGAGGTTTACGAAGGTGAGATACACAGAGCATTTGGGGTTCATAAAGTACTTAGGAATTATTAAAAATCACATTTTGATGTTTACAAGGGAGAGATTTACCAAGCACTTTGGGATAGATTAAAAAATCCTTGGAGGTTTGCAGAGCACTTTGAGATCAAAACACACTTTGAGGTTCACGAGGGTGAATCTTACCAAACACTTGGAATGAAAAGCACTGTCTGGCTTACAAAACCCTCTGGGGTTTGAAGCAAGCAAGGGTGTACTCTGAGGTTGTAAACCTCATTTCTGAGGGCTGGTTAGTCCCTTTTGACAGATGATAAAACTGAGGCCCAGAGAGAGGGTGTCCAGCACAGAGGGAGTGGGAGAGTCAATTCATCTTTTCCTCCTAAACTACAGAAAGTGTTTGGGCTTGGACACTTTGCTGGGGGCGTGTCCTAACCTTCCAGTCACCCTGCAAGCTCCCCTCTCCTGGCTCGATGGATGCCACCACCTTCTCAGAGATCAGCACCTCTCCTGTCTTGTTGTTGGTCACCTGTGAGGAACCAAAGAAGAGTAAGAAAAAACTTCTTTCCTCCTATGCCCTTCTCCCTGACAGATACTGCAGCATGAGGGATCTTAGGGAGACTCCAGGAGGGACTTCCTGGCATAGGCACCTTGTCAATCTGGAGGTGGCTGGAGAGAGTTTTGTTTCCCAGCCTGTGCTTCTGGTTCTCTTCTTGGTGGTAGTTCCTAGGGAGGCCCCGGAAGTCCATAGGAGCAGAGAAGAAGCTGTCCATGCCCCGCAGCAGGTCATCCTGGGGCTGGGGGAGGAATTGATGAGCTGCTGGACCTCCGGACTCCCCAGGACATCTTGGCAGGATCCTTGGCAGGATCCCCTTCTCTCTCCATCCTCTGACCCTTAGGGCCTAACCAGGTCACCTCCTATTCCCATCTGTCCCATTACTTTCCTATTCCTGCCTCCATCTGTCTTCTGTCTCTCTGTCCCCATCCCTCTCTCCGCCTGTCTGTCTGTCTCTCTGCCTGTCTCCCTCCCTCTCTTCCTATCTCTCGGTCTCCCTGTTGCACGCTCTCTCTGTCCCTTGACTCCTCTTTCTATCTTTCTATCTGGCCGCGACCCGTCTCCCACTCTGTCTCCCTGAACCCCTTCCATCCCTCAGTCACCATCTGCCCCTGTCCCTCTTCTCTGTACCTCTTCTTTTCCCCAACACACGGCAGCGCTTACTTTCAGGAAAAGCCGGGTGAAGGCTTGGAGTAGACTCTGGAGACCTAGAAAACCCGAGGAGCTCTCCTGGGCGTCACCATCGCGGATCGGGGCTGCAGTGGAGGGGGGCACCGAGGCAGAGGGGAGCAGCAACAACAGGACTAGCGGGTGCCACATTGCGGGGCGGGCCGGGAGGCTATGGCAAGGGCAGGGGTCAGAGCCCCCCCGCCCCCCCATAAATGCTCCGTCCCCTAAGTGCCCACACCCCCACGCTAGACAACAACTCCTTCCTATCCCTGGCCCAGGAACTCCGCACACCCCGCCCATTCCCCCCCCCTCATCTTCTGCTCCAACCTCCTCCATTGTGTCAGGCCCCTCCCCTCCCCTCAGGCCCGTCTCTTCTGGGCTCTGCCTCACACAACAGATCTCGTTCCTCTTCTTCGCCCACATTCGTATTCAGACCTCGCTCCTCCTCACCTTCTCCCACGCCCTGCCCCTTCTTCTGGGACCCGCCTTTATACTAGACCACAGCCTGGTCACCGGACTCTCAGTCTCTGGCCGTCCACGGACTGTTAAATCCAAACAGTTCTGATCTCGAGCCCAGGCCGGATACCTGGAGCGCTGAATGAGCTCCTCGAGGCCTAGACTCGCCTCTATTGTCTGACCACGCCCCCATTTGCTGACCTCACCCATGAGCCCAGCCCTCTATTGGACAGTCACGCCCTTAAGGGAAGGGCCACGCCCCTTGAGCCAGAGCCGGGCGTTGATTTCAAGTTCACACCCCCCATACTCAGGCCACGCTCCTGTCGGTTGACCTCGGCACTGGAGACCCAGTGTTGCCCCTGTTCTCTGATCGTGGCCATCGTGTCGGAGTCACTCTGCAATCGCAGGTGGCCCCGCCCCTGTCTTAGAGCCACGCCCCCGCACCTAGGCCACGCCTCTGTGCCCCAGATCTTGCCCTTAGCGCCCTCAGTTCCATTCCTAGGCTCTCTCCGCTCATGAAATACCCGCGTCCGAGCAGTCCTTCTGATTATCCCACTGCTTAGTTTTGTATCTATCTCTGAGAGTTTCTCCGTGTCCTTTTTCGTCTTCTCCAGGTTTTGAAACGATTAATACGCTCAATAGAGTGCAATGTAGGGACGCTGAACCCCGAGCCCTCTTCGGTTCCACTAAAAAGCTCCGCCCTCTCAAGAAACCCTAAATCCAGTCCTGTACCACCCTACAAGGAACCCGGGATCCGGGCTCCCTTTTTCCTCAGGACCCCAGAGTCTGGACCCCAGCCCCTCTTGTCTCTTGAGTTTGAACACTCAACTCCTCATCTTTAAGGGACCCTTCATCTTTAAGGGGTATAATTACGGGACCCTCATCTTTTTCCTCAGCCACCGAGGCTCTCCCCGGGTCCTGGGAGAGCTGCCACCTCTAGCCCACTAGTGCGTGTGGATGCGGGAGTCTCCACCTTGGTGAACCTCCAATAAACTCCAAGTCGTCTTGTCCACGACCCTTAACTCTGATGAGGTCACAAGGAAACCAATCAATCAAAAGAAATCAGTGGAATTCAATCAAAAACCCATCTCCATACCTCTAGGCTCAAAAATATACTTGACGCTGAACAGGATTCTTTTGTGGTCCTATCAATCACTTCCACATCTCCAACACACAAACTACACTAGAGGGTAGCCAGGAGTCCGGGCCCCCAGACCATTCCTCCTCCAGACTCAGGAATCTTGGCCCCCAGTTTCCTCCTCTCTCAGATACAGACAGGTTTCCTGGTCCCCATCAATCCTCCCTCAGACCCCTGTGTCCAGACCCCCAATTCTCCTCCTCTCTCAGGGATCCAAGCATCAGAATCCCGAAATTCTCACCAGGCCTCAGCTAGACTTCACCTGTCTTTTCCCAAAGCAAAAATCCTCTCCCAGACTGTCACCGTCGGATCCCCCTTCCCGCTGTCCGGCGCCCGGACCCGCCCCCCCTCCGGTCCCTCCCACTTTTCCCAAACAAAGCTCCCGGGCAACTTTCTCCCTCGCAGCGCCCCGCCCGCCCGCGGCTCCCCAGCCCCAGGCCGGGAGGTAGGTAGGAAGGCGCCGGCGGGAGTCGGGGATCCTGCTTTGGGGTGTGTGAGTTCGGGTGGGCAGTTATGCGTTATGAATTGAGGTGTTTGTGGGACCGTCTCTGAATTGCTTGCAGCCCTCTTTTTGCCGGGGGGGGCCCGAGTTTGCGCTCGTGACTGAGTCTAAGTGTGGAGTTGGAACTTTCGCCAGAGTTGGGGTGTCTGTTGATGGGTCTGAGTTTGGGAGTGTGCGCCTGGGAGTCGGTGAGGATGGGGGACTGTGGGGGGAATGTCTGTGGAGGTATCGGTTTCAAGTGAGAAAGGGCCCCATGCTTGTTTCTGATCGAATTGGTTTGTGTGTGTCATTTGTGGGCGCCTGGTCCTCCTCATGGAGAAAGGAGGCCTCCTGGGTGGCAGAAGGGGGGGCTACGGTGCTTTCTGGATCTTCGGTCTTGTCTCTTTGGAGGTTTGGGGCCTGGGGCAGGAAATTAGTGGGGACCTTTCTGACTCAGCTCCTCTGTCCCTTTGTCTGGCCACATGGGGGAGAGCTGGGCTGGGATTTTGGCCTACGGGGGTCCTGAATGCCTCAGCGCCACTGGGCTCGGCCAGGGGTCTTTGTCTGTCTGGGCCGGAGCTCCGGGGTCCGAGGAAGGATGGGGTTGGGGGCCTGGGCTCTGGGGTCCTGGGAAAGCTGTGGAAGACGTGGAGCCGCCAGGGAGGCGGGATCTGACTGTATTGGAAAAAGTTTTCCCCTGTTCCCGGCCTCCGGAAAGTCACTGGGAACTTGAGTTGGATCCGAGCCCATGCCGCGGGGCGGGGGGGAGGGGGGGGGGGGATGGGGGGGAAGGGGCGGGGCCGGGGGCCAGGGGGGGGGGGCTCTCGCTGGCCAGCCCCTCCCCGGATGGGGGTTGTGGGAAACTGGGGGAGGGGACGCCTGGGCCCTTTGTTCTGACTCTCCTGATGGCAGGGCGACCCTGTCCCCCAGTCTGTGGTTCTGTAGGTCTTTCCTGGTCTTGGCTTGAGTTTGTGCCCTGAGTCTCTGTCCCCTGCCCTCTGGGTCTCTGTCCCCCGACACTGGGTCTCTGTTCCCTGTCTCTGGGACTCCGTCCTCTCTCTCTAAGTCTCTGTCCCCCTCTCTCTGGATCTCCCTCAGCCTTACTAGGGCCTGTGCCCCTCCTTCTTTTCTAACAGCTGCTGCTCACATTCTGGCACCTGTTCTCGGGGTGGGACTGAGAGGATCTCACCCACGTCCCCCTTCCCTGCAACTAGGCTCTGACTCCTGTCTTCTTTAAACCAGTAATCCACACCCAAATTTTCAGCCCTCCTGGACCCTAGTCATTACTCTGGGGTCTTCAAGACTTCATCACAATCCAGGCTCCCCTGAGAACACAGGAGAACGCTCTCACCCTAAGCTTCCCCAGAAATCCAGCCCCTTTCTCCTCCAGGACCCAGGAGTCCAGGCCCCCAGTCTCCTGCTTCCCTCAGATCCAGGAGTTTGGCCTCCAGCCCCCTCCTTTCTCAGACCCAGGGGTCCAGATCCCCAAACCTCTTCTCCCTCAGATCCAAGGGTCTGGGTGCCCCCAGCCTCCTCTCTCAGACCCAGCAGTCTGGACTTCTATCCCACCCTGCTCTGAGGTCCCTCTGGGTGGGTCAAGGGAATGTTGCTGAACTCTGTGTTCCTCCAGGCCCAGATGGGGGAACCCCGGGCTGGGGCCCCCCTGGACGATGGCAGCGGCTGGACAGGAAGTGAGGAAGGAAGCGAGGAGGGCACTGGCGGCAGTGAGGGGGCGGGGGGAGACGGGGGCCCAGACGCAGAGGGTGTCTGGAGTCCAGACATCGAGCAGAGCTTCCAGGAGGCCCTGGCCATCTACCCACCCTGTGGCCGGCGGAAAATCATCCTGTCCGATGAAGGCAAGATGTATGGTGAGTCCAGCCCGCTCTTTTGCCTTAGCCCCCACTGGTTAATAAAAATATTAAGCAACACTGATGGAGCTCTAAGCACAGTTCACATAAAAGCACATTGTATCCTCAGAATGACTCAGGTAGGAGTTAGCATCACCATTTGCACAAATGAGGAAACCAAGGCCCAGCAAGGCTAAATGATTTGCCTGAGGCCACAAAGAACCAGTATGTGGAGGAACTGGGATTTGAATCCAGGCAGCCTGGCTCCAAAGCCTGCAGTCATAATTCCTCTCCCTTATAGCCCCCGGCTTGCTGTGGACCTCTGGGAAATGTTGCTTCTCTCTCCTCCCCTGGTGTCCTCTCTGTTGGGAAGTTCTGCTGAAGCTCTAACTCTGTTCCATCTTTGACTTTTCAGGTCGGAATGAACTGATTGCCCGCTACATCAAGCTGAGAACAGGGAAGACTCGAACTCGCAAACAGGTCTCAGGACTGCCTTGTGGGCTTCTGTTTGGAGTGGGCTTGTCTTGTCAGGGTCAGCCTACCGGCAGATTCACATTAGAGGAGAGGCTTGTTCATGTGTTTTTGCCTTTCCTTTTGGCCCCTTTGTTAGTACACTCTAACTGTGCCAATTTTGGTGAAGTCCTCTTAGCAGTTGCATGAGAACTAGAGGGTAAGACAGGCCAGGAGAGCCAAAGAGAAAAGGATGGGGAAGAGAAATAAGACCCGGATTTGCTGGGTCTTGGGGTGATCAGTAGTGTTAGTGAGAAAAGAATAGCCTTTATGGACACATCTGTGTTCTTACGCTCCAAGATAGCTGGCACTTTCTATGTATTTGTCATCTTTCGTGTTTCAGCAGCTCCGTGGGACACCTGGAGGGAGGGAAGGGGTACGGGACGCAAGGGGTGAGTGGCTGTGGCCTGAATCTGCTTCTTTGTCACTCCCTTCAGGTCTCTAGTCATATCCAGGTTTTGGCCCGAAGGAAATCGAGGGAAATCCAGTCCAAGCTCAAGGTAGAGGTCAAAGGACCATGGCAGACACCCTGAGAGGGAGGCAGAGACATTGAGAGGGGGGATAGGGACCCAGAGAGAGGAGGATAGGGACCCAGAGAGAGGGGGACAGAGACCCAGAGAGAGAGGGCAACAGAGGTCCAGAGAAAGAGGGAGAGACCCAGGGTGGGGGACAGAGACCCGGAGATGGGGACAGAGTCACACAGAGGTAGACAGATGAGGGGAGCAGAGACCCAAGGTGGGGGTTAGTGGCCCAGCAAGGGGGTGAATAGAGACCCTGGGTAGCAAGAGTGTCATAGAGAGAGGGGGACCGAAATTTAGCTTAGGACAGGCAAGAAGGATGGGTCGTTGGGCCTGTCCTTTGACTACTGCTGTCTTCATCCTTCCTCTCCTCTCCTCCCCTCCCCTCACTGCCTTCTCCCTCTTATGCTGTGAGGATCTCCTCTTTGTCTCCTTCTGGTTCATCTTTCCATGTTGCCTGCCTGCATTTTCTGTGCCCAGAAATCTTCATTTCCTTTTGGAGATGTTCATATCCCTTTTCTTTTTTGCATCCTCTGGATTTCCTGTTCCGTCTTGGCCTGAGACCTTCATTTTCTACTCCTCTGAGTATGGGGTCTTTTCTGCCTCTTCCTTAGGACTTGGGGATCACTACTTCCTGTTCTTTTTGTTCCCAGAAGCCTCCCCATCCTTTTTCTTTAAGTCTGAAAACCTTCACTCCCAGTCTTTGGTCTTTTGTGGATCTCACTGTCCCCCTCCTTTCTGGGCTGGGAAACCTTCACCGTCTCTTCTCTCTGGGTTTAAAAGTCTCATTTCCTGTTGCCTGTGTATTCGGAAACCTCCACTTCCGGCTCTTTCTGAACCTAGAAACCCTCATTGCTGTCTTTTATTCTGGGCCTGGGAACCCCTTTCCTCCTCTAGGCCTGGCTTTCTCTACTTTCTGTTCTATATTCATCCCTTGCTCCCCCTTCCTTCCATCGCTCAGCTCAGGGTGGCTGGACTATAGGGGTTGGGAGAGCAGGAAGGTAGAGTGGGGCAGTCCAGGCCTCATTTCCTAAGTCGTGTTTTCTTTCTTCCTTTGGCACCCTCACCCACCCCCATGGGCAGGCCCTGAATGTGGTAAGTCCCCTTACGCATCCTCCCACCCTCTCCCTTTCCCAGACATTCCTGAGGAGGCCAGGAGGGGCCGGGGGCTGTAGTGAGAGGGATTTGGACCCTCACCCAACCCTTTGCCTTGGCTCTGCATCTCTGCGGGCTTGCCCTGCCATGTCATTGTCCCACCCTTCCTGTGTCAACTGGGACTTCCCACTAACATGGACCTCTAACATTTCCTCCAGGACCAGGTTTCCAAGGACAAGGCTTTCCAGACAATGGCCACCATGTCCTCAGCCCAGCTCATCTCAGCACCTTCCCTGCAGGCCAAACTTGGTCCCGCCGGTCCTCAGGTGGCCTGGGTTGGGGATTGTGGGGTTCAGGGCTGGAGCCGTGGGGTTGCAGTTTCAACAGGAAATTGATTGAGCCCCCTTCTTTGTCTCTTCAGACCCCAGAGCTTTTCCAGTTTTGGTCGGGGGGTTCTGGGCCCCCCTGGAATGTTCCAGAGTAAGTACTTCCTATTCTGGCTCAGCACCTGCTCCCCCTCCCCCCACCTCCAGCCCTTTCTCACCCCATCTTCCAGCTCCCAACTCTTTTGTGAGCATAGATTCTGGAGTCAGGCTATCTGAATTTGAATCCCAGGGAGGAGGCTGGGGCAGTGATCCGGAGAAGAAGACTAGGTCTGAGCTGGGATAGTGAGGAGGGGATGGGGAAGAGAGGAGAAGGAGGGATGGGGCTGGGGCCTGATGGACTGAGAAGGAGGGACGAGGCAAGGAGAGTGCTTGGGGTCTGGCTGGTGACTGGGGTTGGTGGGACCATCCAGAAATGTGCAACCTGGGGAAGGAGTGGGTTTGAGGAGGAAATAAGCTCAGCATGGGATTGATGTGATGAATGTGAGGGGCCTGTAGGATGCCCATGGGGATAATGACCTCCCAGTGAGATTGTCTGGGCCCCAGAGGCTCATGGGAAAGGCTTGTTCTCATCCCATAAAGTTGGTTCTTGGGCCTGAGGGTAGAGCAGGGCTCTTTATCTTCTCTCAGAGTCGGAAGGAAGAAAATGGGCCCCTTTTCAGCTCTGAGAGAGCCTTGAGGGTGACAGGATATGTTTTAAGCCTAGAAGATAGAAAGGGCCCCAGAGGCTCATGGGAAATGGAGTTTTCAGCCCATGGAGGTGGCAGTGGATCCAGGCTGGGAGAGAAAAAAGTTTGCTGGGGAGGTGCTGCTGGATGGGGACACAGGAAAGGGTCAGAACAAGTCCCTGGGGGCTGAAGGAACTACAGGTTTGCAGGGGAGAGGGTTGGGCTGGAAGGAGGGGTGGTTCAGCAAGCATCGCACTGGGCATCAGGGTCCCACCTTTTATGGGGCTGATAGTCAAATGGGGGCAACGAATGTTAATTAAATCATCACCTAAATAAACACAAAATTGAAGTGTGTGCCGTAGTGTGGAGAATCAAAACAAGTTCTTGGGTGACGGAGAGAGTTCTGGGGGTTTTTCTGAGGAGGTAACACTGAAGGCCAAGTAGGACTTAGCAAGGTATATAACGGGGTTGGGAATATTTTAGGTAGAGAAAACAGCATGTGCCAAGGCCCTGAGGTATGAAAGTTTGGGGAGTTCCAGAAACCAAGAGAAGTATTAAGCCATTGGCTGGTCAGTCAGATGTTTATTGAGCACCTACTAAGTGCCTGGTTCTCTTTTTGTATTGGGGACCCAGCATTGAACAAATTAGAATTCCTGCTTTTGTGGAGCTTATATACTTGGAGAGGGGAGGAGGCAGACAATAAACATATAGATAAATAAATAAGCATTAATAAGAAAAGAATAAATGTGGGAAATAAAGCAGGGTATATATCGTCTTTTTAGACAGGGGTCATGAGAGGCCTCTCTGAGGAGGTGGCATTTGAGCAGTGGCCCTAATGGGTAAGAGGGTAGGGTATTGGGGTTTAGATTTCAGAACTGGGATGGCAAGTACTAGGTTATGGTTTCTGCAGGTTCAGGTCTAAATGTCCGTGGAGTTTGTGTCTTTCTGATCTTGATCTTTTGACACTTGGCCTCTGCCTGCCCTCTGACATCTCAGTCTCCTCACCACTATCTCCTGGGCTACCCATAGGTTATTGGCTTCTAGAGCCTTGTTGTCGAATACTGCAGTCACTAGCCACATGTGGTTATTGAAATTTAAGTTAATTAAAATTAAATAAGAATTCACTTCCTTGGGAATTCCCTGGCGGTAGAGTGGTTAGGACTCGGCACTTTCACTGCTGTGGACCAGGTTCAACCCCTGGTTAGGAAGATCCCGCAAGCCACTCAGCGTGGCCAAAAAAAAGAATTCAGTTCCTCAAATATCCTAGCCACATTCATACTCAGTAGTCACAGGTCATGTGCTCAGTAGCCACATGTGGCCAGTGGCTACTGTATTGGATGGCACAGATACAGAACATTTCCATCATCGCAGAAAATTCTATTGGACAGCCCTGCTTTATTTTATTTTATTTTTTAAACATTTATTTTATTGAAGTATAGTTGAGGCTTCAATGAAATGGTGCCCATAATGTACTTGCACAGGGTCTGGCTTGTCATGGCCCCTCAGTAAATGTTAGATGGTACGATTAGCATCTTTCCTTCTTACTGACCCCCAGTTTCCTTTCTCCCTCAGTGTGAAGCCATTCTCGCAGACACCGTTCTCCTTGTCACTGACTCCTCCATCTACTGACCTCCCAGGTAAGAGCCTGTTCCGCACCCTCTCTTGTTTTCCCCTCTCTCTTCTCAGCCCTGACTGCCTTTCCTTCAACCTTCCATTGATCAGGGGATACATTCTTACTGAGATCCAGCTCTCAGGCAGGGCCTGTGGGGGTATGGAAAGATGAGTCACAGAATTTATAGTGGTTAAGAGCCTGGCCTCTGTAGCCAGATCTACTGGGTTTATGGTCTGTCACTTGCTGACCTAAAGGACATCAGGGATATTGATATATTAATCAAGATTCTTTAGCTGCACATGACAGAAACCCAAATCAAGCTAGATGACCAAAAAAAAAAGGGGGGGGGAATTTATTCGTTCAGGTAACTGTTATTTCAGGAGTTATGGCTTCAGGCATGGCTGGATCCAGGGGCTCAAATGGTAGCATCAGGACTTGCTTGGGTCTGCTTTCCTCTGTGGTGGCTTCATTCCCAGGCAGGCTCTGCTCACCTGGTAGCAAAGATGGCTTCCAGAAGTCCATGCTGATGTGGTCCTAAGTACTCACATTGGTGAAAGAGAGCTCTCAGGTTCCACAGATTCATCAATTGGGAATGTTTTTGGCTGCAAGTTACAGAATATCCAAATTAACAGTGCCTTAAATAGTAAAGGCTTTAATGATTCCACATAACAAAAAATCTGGAGGTGGGCTGCTCCTGTGCTGGTTCAGCAGCTCAGCAATACCAGAACTGGCATCTCTATAGGTCTCTTGGCCTCTGTTTTATTATCCCAAGATGGCTGTTGTGACTCCAGGCAACACATTCCAAGCAGGACTTGGCCAGAGCCAAAAGCTTTCTCCTCCCAAAGTTCTGTCTTTTTCATTCAGGAAGAAACTCCTTCCCAGAAGCCCCCCAGCAGATTTCCCCTAACGTCTCATTGGCCAGGACTGTGTCACATGGCCACCTCTAGCTGCAAGGGAGGCTGGGAAAGTGAGTATTTAGCTTTTTCAGCTTCTAAGTGGAGGCAGGCAAGAGAGAACAGTGCTTGATATATTCAATAAATGTTAGCAATTATTATTGTTTGTTCTTCTCTCTCTAGGGTACGAGCCCCCCCAAGCCCTCTCACCTCCTGCTTTGCCCCCACCTGCCCCATCACCCCCA